CCGACCCTTCGTTCTCGTCTCCTGCTGCGTCTGCCTTAGTCGCTGAGCTCGTTGACTTTGCTGCTGTGTACCGCCTAGACTACCTTGCGAGTCTTGTTTCTGACCCTGTCCCTGCCTGTCCTCCGTCCGTCGGGGGTGAGACTGCCCTTGGCTGTGACGTTCTTGAGGACAGACAGGAGGAGCTGGAGTGCCTTGCGGCTGCTGCACCCCATCTTGCGACCATGCTGCTTGCCCCTGAGGGAGACCCGGATGCACTTGACATCCTCACCCCGCGCTCTTACAGAGAGGCGATTTCGGGTGAGTACTCCTCTCAGTGGCAGACAGCCATGGACGCAGAGATGGCTTCCTGGAAGTCCACAGGCACCTACGTCGATGAGGTTCCCCCACCTGGGGCGAATATCATCAGTGGCATGTGGATTTTCAGGGTGAAACGGCCTCCGGGTTCTCCGCCTGCCTACAAGGCACGTTACGTTGCTCGAAGCTTCAGTCAGCGTGCGGGGGTCGACTTCTTTCAGACCTTCTCCCCCACCCCGAAGATGACCACTCTTCGGGTGTTGCTACACGTTGCAGCTCAGCGTGACTACGAGCTGCACTCCCTCGACTTCTCGACAACTTTCTTGCAGGGTAGCCTTCACGAGGCCATCTGGTTGCGCCGTCCAGAGGGTTTCACTGGGTCGTTTCCTGAGGGTACCCAGTGGAGCCTACGGCAACCAGTGTACGGCCTGCGTCAGGCGCCCCGCGAGTGGCACGACACACTGAGGACGACACTTGCGGCTCTTGGGTTTGCTCGTTCGACTGCTGACCCGTCGCTTTTTTCACGCACCGACACTACTCTGCCGCCGTTCTACATCCTCGTGTACGTCGACCACTTGGTTTTTGCTACTGCTGACACTGAGGCACTGGCTCTAGTGAAGGCGGAGCTGCAGGAGAGACACACCTGCACTGACCTGGGTGAGCTGCGGAGCTATCTTGGCTTGCAGATCACCCGGGACAGAGCACGGCGCACCATCACCCTCACTCAGTCACACATGGTGCACCAAGTCCTTTAGCGGTTCGGCTTCCAGTTTTCCTCGCCACAGCCCACTCCTCTGCATACTGGCCACTCGTTCTCAGCTCCACCTTCGGACGAGTCCGTAGATCCGAGTGGTCCGTACCCAGAGCTTGTGGGTTGCCTCATGTACCTGATGACGTGCACACGACCTGACCTCGCGTACCCTCTCAGCCTCCTGGCTCGCTACGTGGCACCCGGTAGACATCGAAAGGTGCACTTTGATGCTGCGAAGAGGGTACTGCGTTACTTGTGCAGTACATCGGGCATGGGGCTCGTGCTTGGAGGACGGGGTTCAGTGGTACTCACAGGCCACTCTGACGCTTCTTGGGCCGACGACCAGGCGACTCAGCGTTCGTCACAGGGTTACACCTTCTGTCTTGGCTCTGGCTCTGCCTCGTGGAGGTCCACTCGTTCTTCTTATGTGCTTGGCTCCAGCTGCGAGGCCGAGATCTACGCTGGGGTCATGGCTGCACAGGAGCTACGCTGGCTGACCTACCTGCTGACCGACTTGGGGGAGCGGCCTCGTTCTCCTCCAGTTCTGTACGTCGACAACAAGGCAATGCTTGCCTTGTGTCGCGAGCAGAGACTGGAGCACAGAACGAAGCACATTGCTCTTCGCTTCTTCCTTGCGCGTGAGCTGCAGCAGCGTGGTCAGCTGCGCCTTGCTTATGTGGCCTCTCGGGCCAACACAGCTGATGTCTTCACCAAGGCCCTTGGGTCTGGTGATCATCACCGTTTCTGCACTGCTCTTGGGCTTGTACCCACTCTGCCTCACCTGCTGGTTGCTTGACTTGCTCTTGTTGTACACTGATATATATATCTTTATACCTGCTTGTTTACTCTTGCTAGGTTATGATCAGTGTACTGCCTTGCTATTATTACTCTGCATGTGAACTGGCCTTGTGGCTGCTTGCTTGTGCTCAGAATGTGTGGTGATCTTGAGATCCACCCTGAGCTTTGCTTTTCTTTGTTTTGTTCTCTTGCTTAACTGGTCTTGTGACCGTTCGTTATGTTTGCTATCCCCCACTTTGCCTATGGGGGTGTGTCAAATTACATTTGTATGCTTCTAGGCTGTAGTGGGGCATACTCTAGTGAGTACAACCCTTTAGGGATTCACACTTGTACTCATCCTGCTGCTCAGTGCAATCATTCCTGCCTGCTTATTCTAACAGTTTTGTGTACCTACACTGATTTTTTAGTGTTGATATTTTTGTGACACTGATTTTTCAGCCTTTATTTCATAGCTAACACTGCTTTTTCAGTCTTTTGTCGAAGTGTACACTGAATGCACATTCCGAATCCTTCCCGTAAAACACCCGAGAGATTCAGTCAACCAACATTTCCACATTGTACACATAAAAACCCGTAAGACACTGACGGCTGACAGGATGAACTGTCTCAGTGGTTAGCGAATAGTAAGGTTCCCGGTTCGAATCCCTCGGCTGTCACGTTTCGTAAAGACTACTCTCATATACAAGGCTGTCAAAGTAGTAGATAGAACTTAGTAGCCATAGCTAGGGTTTGGGGTAGGAGGGGAGGAGCATGTCGAGAGAGTTTAGCCAAAAGAGGAGTTTCACTATAGCAAACAAGGAACATATAGGTGAGAGAACAAGAACAAGAGGTACACCACCAAGCAGGAAAGTAAGATAACTACACTACAGCTAGAACTACATGCAGTTATAACAATATAATTCTGACATCCCCCCTTAACTGCATGCAGGAATAGCCAAGTGCTAGACACAACATGCAGGGGTACACCTAAGCAGAACAAAGCAGCATCATGCAAGAGCAGTGACAACCAGTGCAGTAGTGGCAGATACAGCAGCAGTAAGCCCTGAGGCAAGAGAGAAACAAACAACAGTAGGTGCATGTGGCGCAGGGCGCTTGGAGAGCAGGTGCTTGCTGCGGCAACGTGCGGCGGCACAGCATGGCTCAACGGCAGCACCTGCCGCTCAACAGCAGCAGAAAGACAAGACAAACGAAGGTGGCGACAGGGGCTGCAGCAGGAGGTGCCACGGTAGCAGCGGGTGGCAGCTGCAGTTGCCTAGCTGACTTCCGCCACCATCTCACCCTCGGTAGTGAGAAATAGAGGAGGAGGGGCGGCTGCTGGCTCGGCTGAATCTCTCTCTCCACTCCCTCACACTCTCTCCCTTTCCCCTCACCCTCCCCCCGCAACCTCTCCCCCCCCTCACGGCGGACCCCGCGGAAAAGGGGGGGGGGGGGGGGGGGGGGCGTGGGCTGCCGCTGGCGCTGGCGTCCGCGTTGGCGTCGGGCACTGGCATCCGCGCTGGCGCCGGGCGCTTGCGTCGGCGCTGGCGCCTGGCTCTGGCGTCCGCGTTGGCGCCTGGCGCTGGCGTCGGAGCTGGCGCCTGGCTCTGGCGTCCGCGTTGGTGCCTGGCGCTGGCGTCCTCGACGACGTCGGGAGCAGGCGTCCGCGCTGGCGGTCGTCGCTGGTCGCTGGTGCCCGCGGCTGGCGCTCGTCGCTGGCGGCCCGCGGAGCGACGGAGGGCCGCGGGGCGCGACGGACGGGCAGGGCGCAGCGGGGGGCGCGACGGACGGGCAGGGCGCGACGGACGGGCAAGGCGCAGCAGTGAGCGCGATGGACGGGCAGGGCGCTCGGGGCGCGTGATGCAGGGGGCCGCGCCCAACTCGCTGTCGCACTCTTAGTTGAGGCCGCTGCGACCGTCGAAACTAAGGGCGCGACGAAGGGCGTGACGAAGGGCGTGACGAGCGCCATACGCGAAGAAATCGGTGGGCCCATTAGGAACGAAACCACTCTAATACCATGTCAAAGTAGTAGATAGAACTTGATAGCCATAGCTAGGGCTTGGGGTAGGAGGGGAGGAGCATGTCGAGAGAGTTTAGCCAAAAGAGGAGTTTCACTATAGCAAACAAGGAACATATAGGTGAAAGAACAAGAACAAGAGGTACACCACCACCAAGCAGGAAAGTAAGATAACTACACTACAGCTAGAACTACATGCAGTTATAACAATATAATTATGACAAAGGCATAATGTGATTGAAAATTCAGGCTTTTTTGTTTGGAACCCTGAAAATTCAGGCCTTTTTTTAGGAACCCTGAAAATTCAGGATTTTTTTCACAGGGACCCTGATGCATCAACGTCCCTAAAAGTGAATCTGAGGGCCTGGTTGTTGCTCCTCTTGACTGGTCTTGTGACCATTTGTTTGCCTTGGTTGTTTTTTTATGCCCCTCACTTAGCCTATGGAGGTTTGTCATGGTTGGCTCTTTAAACTGCTAGTGTAAATATGATACAATAGGCAAACATGTTCAACATCGTTACACATGTGAAGTTTGTTTTCGTGTAGGGTTTCTGCTTTCGCCCAACGACTTTGGTTTCCAGGCCAAGCGCCCTACTCAGGCACTCAGGGCGGGTTACAAGCACTAAACTGCGCACCAACTCCGCTCTGCCTGTGCGCTATCCCACAACACACCTATCCCGCCACGCAAGCACGTGTTCCTTGCAATGAGGTAGCGACGGACACACCGTTCTCCACAAGAAATGCCGACGGGAGCGGCGTTTGCGGAAGGGATGGCGAATGGCGGAGCGGCAGAGCCGTTGGGTGATCGCAGCGCACAGCACGACGGTGAGCACGCGGTGTGCAAAGGGGTGCGAGGGGTAGAAGGGTCGGTGAGAGCAGATGTGGCGGGGGCAAGAGATGGCAGCATGTGCGCTGATGGCTGAGGATGCCTCCAGGCACGCGCGACGACGCGTAGTGCGGGTGGCGTGGGCACCCGGCATGGCGCAGGTCACGGCGATGCACGGGTGGGCGCAGGTCAAGGCGATGCACGGGTGGGCGCAGCGCCGGAGAGCGAGCAGAGTTGAGTGCAGCGGGAGCAGCGCGACGCTGGATGTGATGTGGCATCTCTTCTGCTCCCCGCCTTGCACGTCCCTCGCCCTCCCCGCATGGCGTTGCGCTCCCCCGCATGGCGTTGCGCTCCCCCGCATGGCGTTGCGCTCCCCCGCATGGCGTTGCGCTCCCCCGCATGGCGTTGCTCTCCCCCGCATGGCGTTGCGCTCCCCCGCATGGCGTTGCGCTCCCCCGCATGGCGTTGCTCTCCCCCGCATGGCGTTGCTCTCCCCCGCATGGCGTTGCTCTCCCCCTCGCATGTAATGCGTTGGCATCTCCATTTCGCCTCGCGCTTCTGCCGCGCCTGACCTCTGCCCAGTTGCCCCTCGTTCGCCTCCTTGCTCCTTGTGCTGCCGCGTTGTATGCTGCGCCCGTGTGTGTGCTGCGCCCGCCCGTGTGTGTGTGTGTGTGTGTGTCAGGCGCGGAGGTGGCGCGGCTAGCGGGGGAAGTGGCGGCGCTGAAGAAGGAGATGGCCGTCAAGTGAGAGAGCCATGGGGGAGAAAGGGGAGGGGGGGGGGGCACTGCACTGCTCCGCCATGGGGGGTGCACTGCACTGGTCCAGTATGGGGGATGCAGCAGCATCGCAAAAGCACAACGTGCATCACATTTTATCATGCCACATGCCCCATTCCCCATGGCCCATGGCCCATGGCCCATCGGTTCACTGGTTCCTCCCTCTGCGCTCTTGCTCTTGGAGTCGTGAACGTCCCCTGCCTCCCCCTCGCATGTGCTGTGCGTGCGCCACAGAGTGAAGCACTACGAGAACAAGCTGCTCACCCACTCCGTCATCAACGGCGCCCTTCAGGTCACCTCACCCTCCTCTGCCCCCCGCGCCCCCCACCGCTGCCATGTTTCATGCATCGTGCCATGTGCTGCATGCAGTGTGTTTGCCAGCAGCCATTCTCCTCCTCCACGTCTGTGCTCGCCCTCTCACAGCAATCGTCTGTGCTCGCCCTCTCACAGCAATCGTCTGTGCTCGCCCTCTCACAGCAATCGTCTGTGCTCGCCCTCTCACAGCAATCGTCTGTGCTCGCCCTCTCACAGCAATCGTCTGTGCTCGCCCTCTCACAGCAATCGTCTGTGCTCGCCCTCTCACAGCAATCGTCTGTGCTCGCCCTCTCACAGCAATCGTCTGTGCTCGCCCTCTCACAGCAATCGTCTGTGCTCGCCCTCTCACAGCAATCGTCTGTGCTCGCCCTCTCACAGCAATCGTCTGTGCTCGCCCTCTCACAGCAATCGTCTGTGCTCGCCCTCTCACAGCAATCGTCTGTGCTCGCCCTCTCACAGCAATCGTCTGTGCTCGCCCTCTCACAGCAATCGTCTGTGCTCGCCCTCTCACAGCAATCGTCTGTGCTCGCCCTCTCACAGCAATCGTCTGTGCTCGCCCTCTCACAGCAATCGTCTGTGCTCGCCCTCTCACAGCAATCGTCTGTGCTCGCCCTCTCACAGCAATCGTCTGTGCTCGCCCTCTCACAGCAATCGTCTGTGCTCGCCCTCTCACAGCAATCGTCTGTGCTCGCCCTCTCACAGCAATCGTCTGTGCTCGCCCTCTCACAGCAATCGTCTGTGCTCGCCCTCTCACAGCAATCGTCTGTGCTCGCCCTCTCACAGCAATCGTCTGTGCTCGCCCTCTCACAGCAATCGTCTGTGCTCGCCCTCTCACAGCAATCGTCTGTGCTCGCCCTCTCACAGCAATCGTCTGTGCTCGCCCTCTCACAGCAATCGTCTGTGCTCGCCCTCTCACAGCAATCGTCTGTGCTCGCCCTCTCACAGCAATCGTCTGTGCTCGCCCTCTCACAGCAATCGTCTGTGCTCGCCCTCTCACAGCAATCGTCTGTGCTCGCCCTCTCACAGCAATCGTCTGTGCTCGCCCTCTCACAGCAATCGTCTGTGCTCGCCCTCTCACAGCAATCGTCTGTGCTCGCCCTCTCACAGCAATCGTCTGTGCTCGCCCTCTCACAGCAATCGTCTGTGCTCGCCCTCTCACAGCAATCGTCTGTGCTCGCCCTCTCACAGCAATCGTCTGTGCTCGCCCTCTCACAGCAATCGTCTGTGCTCGCCCTCTCACAGCAATCGTCTGTGCTCGCCCTCTCACAGCAATCGTCTGTGCTCGCCCTCTCACAGCAATCGTCTGTGCTCGCCCTCTCACAGCAATCGTCTGTGCTCGCCCTCTCACAGCAATCGTCTGTGCTCGCCCTCTCACAGCAATCGTCTGTGCTCGCCCTCTCACAGCAATCGTCTGTGCTCGCCCTCTCACAGCAATCGTCTGTGCTCGCCCTCTCACAGCAATCGTCTGTGCTCGCCCTCTCACAGCAATCGTCTGTGCTCGCCCTCTCACAGCAATCGTCTGTGCTCGCCCTCTCACAGCAATCGTCTGTGCTCGCCCTCTCACAGCAATCGTCTGTGCTCGCCCTCTCACAGCAATCGTCTGTGCTCGCCCTCTCACAGCAATCGTCTGTGCTCGCCCTCTCACAGCAATCGTCTGTGCTCGCCCTCTCACAGCAATCGTCTGTGCTCGCCCTCTCACAGCAATCGTCTGTGCTCGCCCTCTCACAGCAATCGTCTGTGCTCGCCCTCTCACAGCAATCGTCTGTGCTCGCCCTCTCACAGCAATCGTCTGTGCTCGCCCTCTCACAGCAATCGTCTGTGCTCGCCCTCTCACAGCAATCGTCTGTGCTCGCCCTCTCACAGCAATCGTCTGTGCTCGCCCTCTCACAGCAATCGTCTGTGCTCGCCCTCTCACAGCAATCGTCTGTGCTCGCCCTCTCACAGCAATCGTCTGTGCTCGCCCTCTCACAGCAATCGTCTGTGCTCGCCCTCTCACAGCAATCGTCTGTGCTCGCCCTCTCACAGCAATCGTCTGTGCTCGCCCTCTCACAGCAATCGTCTGTGCTCGCCCTCTCACAGCAATCGTCTGTGCTCGCCCTCTCACAGCAATCGTCTGTGCTCGCCCTCTCACAGCAATCGTCTGTGCTCGCCCTCTCACAGCAATCGTCTGTGCTCGCCCTCTCACAGCAATCGTCTGTGCTCGCCCTCTCACAGCAATCGTCTGTGCTCGCCCTCTCACAGCAATCGTCTGTGCTCGCCCTCTCACAGCAATCGTCTGTGCTCGCCCTCTCACAGCAATCGTCTGTGCTCGCCCTCTCACAGCAATCGTCTGTGCTCGCCCTCTCACAGCAATCGTCTGTGCTCGCCCTCTCACAGCAATCGTCTGTGCTCGCCCTCTCACAGCAATCGTCTGTGCTCGCCCTCTCACAGCAATCGTCTGTGCTCGCCCTCTCACAGCAATCGTCTGTGCTCGCCCTCTCACAGCAATCGTCTGTGCTCGCCCTCTCACAGCAATCGTCTGTGCTCGCCCTCTCACAGCAATCGTCTGTGCTCGCCCTCTCACAGCAATCGTCTGTGCTCGCCCTCTCACAGCAATCGTCTGTGCTCGCCCTCTCACAGCAATCGTCTGTGCTCGCCCTCTCACAGCAATCGTCTGTGCTCGCCCTCTCACAGCAATCGTCTGTGCTCGCCCTCTCACAGCAATCGTCTGTGCTCGCCCTCTCACAGCAATCGTCTGTGCTCGCCCTCTCACAGCAATCGTCTGTGCTCGCCCTCTCACAGCAATCGTCTGTGCTCGCCCTCTCACAGCAATCGTCTGTGCTCGCCCTCTCACAGCAATCGTCTGTGCTCGCCCTCTCACAGCAATCGTCTGTGCTCGCCCTCTCACAGCAATCGTCTGTGCTCGCCCTCTCACAGCAATCGTCTGTGCTCGCCCTCTCACAGCAATCGTCTGTGCTCGCCCTCTCACAGCAATCGTCTGTGCTCGCCCTCTCACAGCAATCGTCTGTGCTCGCCCTCTCACAGCAATCGTCTGTGCTCGCCCTCTCACAGCAATCGTCTGTGCTCGCCCTCTCACAGCAATCGTCTGTGCTCGCCCTCTCACAGCAATCGTCTGTGCTCGCCCTCTCACAGCAATCGTCTGTGCTCGCCCTCTCACAGCAATCGTCTGTGCTCGCCCTCTCACAGCAATCGTCTGTGCTCGCCCTCTCACAGCAATCGTCTGTGCTCGCCCTCTCACAGCAATCGTCTGTGCTCGCCCTCTCACAGCAATCGTCTGTGCTCGCCCTCTCACAGCAATCGTCTGTGCTCGCCCTCTCACAGCAATCGTCTGTGCTCGCCCTCTCACAGCAATCGTCTGTGCTCGCCCTCTCACAGCAATCGTCTGTGCTCGCCCTCTCACAGCAATCGTCTGTGCTCGCCCTCTCACAGCAATCGTCTGTGCTCGCCCTCTCACAGCAATCGTCTGTGCTCGCCCTCTCACAGCAATCGTCTGTGCTCGCCCTCTCACAGCAATCGTCTGTGCTCGCCCTCTCACAGCAATCGTCTGTGCTCGCCCTCTCACAGCAATCGTCTGTGCTCGCCCTCTCACAGCAATCGTCTGTGCTCGCCCTCTCACAGCAATCGTCTGTGCTCGCCCTCTCACAGCAATCGTCTGTGCTCGCCCTCTCACAGCAATCGTCTGTGCTCGCCCTCTCACAGCAATCGTCTGTGCTCGCCCTCTCACAGCAATCGTCTGTGCTCGCCCTCTCACAGCAATCGTCTGTGCTCGCCCTCTCACAGCAATCGTCTGTGCTCGCCCTCTCACAGCAATCGTCTGTGCTCGCCCTCTCACAGCAATCGTCTGTGCTCGCCCTCTCACAGCAATCGTCTGTGCTCGCCCTCTCACAGCAATCGTCTGTGCTCGCCCTCTCACAGCAATCGTCTGTGCTCGCCCTCTCACAGCAATCGTCTGTGCTCGCCCTCTCACAGCAATCGTCTGTGCTCGCCCTCTCACAGCAATCGTCTGTGCTCGCCCTCTCACAGCAATCGTCTGTGCTCGCCCTCTCACAGCAATCGTCTGTGCTCGCCCTCTCACAGCAATCGTCTGTGCTCGCCCTCTCACAGCAATCGTCTGTGCTCGCCCTCTCACAGCAATCGTCTGTGCTCGCCCTCTCACAGCAATCGTCTGTGCTCGCCCTCTCACAGCAATCGTCTGTGCTCGCCCTCTCACAGCAATCGTCTGTGCTCGCCCTCTCACAGCAATCGTCTGTGCTCGCCCTCTCACAGCAATCGTCTGTGCTCGCCCTCTCACAGCAATCGTCTGTGCTCGCCCTCTCACAGCAATCGTCTGTGCTCGCCCTCTCACAGCAATCGTCTGTGCTCGCCCTCTCACAGCAATCGTCTGTGCTCGCCCTCTCACAGCAATCGTCTGTGCTCGCCCTCTCACAGCAATCGTCTGTGCTCGCCCTCTCACAGCAATCGTCTGTGCTCGCCCTCTCACAGCAATCGTCTGTGCTCGCCCTCTCACAGCACCAACTCCATTTCTATCCGCGTGACCCACCACCTCCTCTTCCTGCCCTTTGCCCATCCGCCCCCCGTGACTCTCAGCTTCTCGTTCCTTCCCCTACCACTCCCCTACCACTCCCCTACCACTCCCCTGCCACCCCCCCCCACCCTCGCCCCCTGGTCCCGGCAGGCGGAGAACGAGCGCCTTAAGGAGGACCTGCAGAGAGCGCTGGAGGGCGCACAGGGGGGCGGGGGAGGGGGAGGGGGCGGGGCGGGGGGGCGCAGTGTGGAGGAGGCGGAGCAGGAGCTGCGCGAGCTGCATGAGGAGTTCACCCGGCGGCTCAATGCGGCTGAGAAAGGCGTGAGTGCCATGCTGCTGAGACGGCCGTGAGTGGGCTGAGAATGGCGTGAGTGGGCTGAGAATGGCGTGAGTGGGCTGAGAATGGCGTGAGTGGGCTGAGAATGGCGTGAGTGGGCTGAGAATGGCGTGAGTGGGCTGAGAATGGCGTGAGTGCCACTTGGCTGAGAAGGACGTGAGTGCGGCTGACAGGGGCGTGAGTGCCACTGAGAATGGCTGAGAAGGGGTGTGCCCCTCTCTCTGTGCGCCCGTTATTCACCATCCGGGAAACCAGCTTCTCCGTTGCCTTCCCGTGCCCACTGCTGCCCACCTTTCTGCCTGGCTGTGCGTGTGGTGCTTGGTTGTGCGTGGTGTGCGTGTGGTGTGCGGGTGGTGTGCGTGTGGTGTGTGTTTGGTGTGCGTGTGGTGTGCGTGTGGTGTGCGTGTGGTGTGCTTGTGGTGTGCGTGTGGTGTGCGTGTGGTGTGGTGTGCGTGTGGTGTGCGTGTGGTGTGTGTGTGGTGTGCGTGTGGTGTGCGTGTGGTGTGCATGGGGTGCATGGGGTGCAGGTGCATGCGTTCAGGGAGGAGTGTTTTGGGTTGAGGCGGTTGGTGGAGGAGCAGAGGCAAGCAGCAGCGAGGATGGAGGGGGAGATGGGGGACAAGGACGCACAGCTGCAGCAGGTGGGAGCACCGCCCTCCCAACACGGCATCACTCACAGCTGCTTGCCTTTTCACTGCTCGTCTTGCCCCGGCATAACTCATAATCCCTCTGCATCACTCGTCGTCCCTCTACTCACTTGTTGCGTGCTCCATGCCTTTTTGCTTCAGCCGTCATGCCTTCCCTTCCCTCATGCCCACCTCTCCCCTCCTCCATCCCTTCCCTCTTCTCTCCACTGCACACCAACCATCCCCCCATCCCCCCCCTCCCCCCTCCCCCTCCCACGGGCGTCAGAGCGAGCGGGAGAGTGAGGCGCTGCGGCAGGCGGTGGGGGAGAGAGAGGCGGTGGTGGCGAGGCAGCGGCAGGAGCTGGCGCGCGTGGAGGCGGACAGAGACAGGCTGCTCGCCACAAAGCAGGTCACCTGCTTCTCCCTCTTTAGATGCCTTTTGAGACGTCTCAAAAGTCATCTGCCCCATTTCAGAGACAGGCTGCTCGCCACCAAGCAGGTCACCTGCTTCTCCCTCTTTAGATGTCCCCTATTTAGTTCGCTCTGCAGCATTTCATGTGTCCCTCCACTCCACCTTTGTTTGGTCCGTCTACCGCCTTTACGGCCGCCCAAACAGCCCGTGACGTGCATGTGTGTGTGTGTGTGTGTGTGTGTGTGTGTGTGTGTGTGTGTGTGTGTGTGTTTGTGTGTGTGTGTGTGCTCCGCCCCCCTGCCCGGCTGCAGGCGCTGGAGGCGGCAGCCCAGAGCGCAGACGCCACCAGGTCGGCCCTCACCCTCCACCTGCCGCTTGAGCTCGTACCTCACACCCATCACTGCATTATGCTCACTTCATCTCTCCTTAACCTGCCCATACTCTGCACTGCAATCTCTGTGCTCCCTTCCTTCTGTATCCATGTTTCTTCCTTCCGAATCGTTCGGGCCTGGCCATGTGTGCTAGTGCATGTGTCAGTGCATGCTGGCTTGCATAAAATTGTGTGTGTGTGTGTGTGTGTGTGTGTGTGTGTGTGTGTGTGTGTGTGTGTGTGCATGCGTGCGTGCGTGCGCCCCTATTCGGCCGTCTCCCCCCCCCACCCATGCCTGGCAGGTCGTCGTCGTTGGAGGAGGCCAACGAGGTGCTAGCAGTCACCAAGCAGGCACTGCAATGTGTAGAAAGTGAATTTTTGAGACGTCTAAAAAATTTGGCCGTACCACCGCGTGCATGCCTGGCAGGTCGTCGCTACTGGAGGAGGCAAACGAGGCACTGGCAGCCACCAAGCAGGCGCTGCAGCACCACAAGGACCAGCTGCTCCGGGTGAGGCACGGGGGTGCTCCGGGTGAGGCTCAGGTGCTCCGGGTGAGGCTCGGGTGCTCAGGGTGAGGCTCGGGGGTGCTCCGGGTGAGGCTCAGGTGCTCCGGGTGAGGCTCGGGTGCTCAGGGTGAGGCTCGGGTGCTCAGGGTGAGGCTCGGGTGCTCAGGGTGAGGCTCGGGTGCTCCGGGTGAGGCTCGGGTGCGCAGGGTGAGGCTCGGGTGCGCAGGGTGAGGCTCGGGTGCGCAGGGTGAGGCTCGGGTGCGCAGGGTGAGGCTCGGGTGCGCAGGGTGAGGCTCGGGTGCGCAGGGTGAGGCTCGGGTGCTCCGGGTGAGGCTCGGGTGGTCAGGGTGAGGCTCGGGTGCTCAGGTTGAGGTTCAGGTGCTCAGGGTGAGTCTCAGATGCTCAGGGTGAGTCTCAGGTGCTCGTTAAATGCTCCTGTGCCTGCTGCGTCTCACTGCCCCTTCGCCTCTCACTTTCCCTGCTGCCTCTGCTGCTGCTGTGCCCCTATGTGTGTGTGTGTGTGAGTGTGAGGGCAGGTGGTGGCGGAGGGAGCGCAGGAGAGGGCAGCAGCGGTGGAGGCGGTGAGGGAGGAGATGCGGCAGCAGCGGGCAGCGCTCGAGGCACAGGCGGCGGACAAAGAGAGCCACCTCACAGCTGCTCTCTCTGCCCTCGCCCAGGTCCCCCTTGCTCCCTCTCGCGCCTTGCCTCACTCGTGTCTTGAGCTTTACTCTGCCATACCGTGTTTCCTTTCATGCTTGTTGTGTCAAGTGTCTTGTTCATTCATGTTTCCCTCTTGGCCCTCATATCTGTTCCTTGTACCAAAGGTGTGTAGTGCAGCACTCTCAGCAGCGCGTGTGTCCTTGCATGTGGCAGAGGGCAACGGAGGCAGAGAGGGAGGCAGTGCAGAGAGAAGAGAAGCTGATGCAAGAGGTATGCTGGTTACTGATGCAAGTCACATAGGAGATGCGCGTATGGGAGAGGCATGACACAACTGAGGATGTGTTGAAGAGGCAGTGGGTGGGAGGGTGTGTGCACTGCATGTAGCCATGAACGGTCCTGGGACAGCAACCATGTGCGATGTAGGAATGTGCACATGTGTGCACGCAACCTTGCCAACCACCTGCTCGCCTCACGATCGCTCTCAAGGTCGCTGTGAGGGTCGCTCTCGTGTTTTATCTCATGCTTCGCGTCGCCTCTGACCGCTCACCTCCTCCCTCATCCCATTAGATAGCGGCTCTCAAGAATCGGTGCCAGCTGGCAGAGACAGCTCATGGTGACGTCAGCACACACATCACAGCAGCAACTCAACCTCTTTTGAGGCAGGCAAGTTTCCTGTCCCAGTCACAGTCACCGTCAGTCACAGTCTCAGTCACAGTCACCGTCGTCACAGTCTCAATCACAGTCAGTCACAGTCAGTCACAGTCAGTCACTGTCAGTCACAGTCACTGTCAGAGTGTCTTTCAACCACGTCCCTCTCTCACTCTCTCTGCCAGCTCATGGCTTCCCTACTAGTTTACACCTTCTCCCTGTGTGCCACTCCGCCCTGCTCCCCCTGCTTCTCCCTGTGTGTCACTCCGCCCTGCTCTCCCTGCTCTCCCTGCTTCCGCCACGTGCGCAACAGATGGAGGGCATGGCGGCGCAGGTGAGGCGGATGGAGCACGAGGAGGAGCAGAGGGAGCGCGTGCACCAGGAGCAGCAGCAGCAGTGGGAGCAGCGGTGGCGCCACGCAGAGGAGGGGCGCAGGAGGGCGGAGGAGAGGGCGGGGCAGGCGGAGCGGGGGGCAGCTGATGCAGCGAGGGCACGGGAGGAGGCAGAGAGGGAGGCGCAGGCTGCAGTGAAGCGACTGCAGGAGTTGCAGCAGCAGCAAGAGGTGGGTGGGCGGGGCAGGGCGGGGCCCATGGGTCAACAGGGAGGGTCGCTGTGAGCGTGGCGGCCCCTTTGCCACCACCCCCTTGCGTCACACACCCCACCCGCCTGTGTGCCATCCAGCTGAGCCCAATCTTGTGAACCGCCCCTGAGTTACCCTCCTCCACCCACCTCTCCCCACCTCCCTCCCTCCCCACCCCCTGCATGCGTGCAGCAACTGCGGGAGGCGGCGCAGGCGGCGGGGGAGAGGGAGGGCATTGCGGAGCATGCGAGGGCGGAGGCAGCAGCAGCGCTGCAGGCAGCACGTGAGGCGAGAGACGAGGCTCTCAGACGCATTCGGGAGATGGAGCGGGCGGGCAGGGGGCGAGGAGCAGAGGGCGATGACAGGGTTGGGGGAGGGGGAGGAGAGGGCAAGGGCAGTGGCGGGAGCAAGGTGCAGCAGCAGCAGCAAGAAGGGGCTGAGATGCTGGTATGTTGAAGGGACCAAACGCACGAAAATGAAAACCTTTTCCCTCGTGCCATGCCCATCCGTTGGCTTGACGTTGCAGGGATTTATTGAGAATTCTCAAAAAATCCCTGCACTTCCATGGCCATCCGTTGGCTTGAACTCATCAGCGCACCTCTGCTGGCCTTGCTTCATCACAAGTTGCGCCCCCTTCTCCCCCCGTGCCTGGTGCGCCCCCCTCTCCCCCCGTGCCTGGTGCGCCCCCCTTCCTCCCAGGCCGTGCCCCTCCCAGCGGCAGCAGCAGCGCCCCACAGCACAGCCGTAGCAGCGTCGCCTGCCCCCTCGTCCCCACCCTCGCCCCCGACCCTCTCAGCCCTCTCTCTCTCGCACTCCCCTCGCCCGCCCACCAGCCCGCGAGGCAGCAGTGCAGGCAGCACTGGGCAGGCAGCAGGGGGGGTTGAGGGACTGGCAGGCAACAGCAGGGCAGGCGGAAGAGGGGGGAGTGCATGGGGTGGTGGGGGGGGGGCGAGTGTGGTGGAAGTGGGAGGGGCGAAGGGGGGGGAGGGGCTGGGAGGCAGTGCGGTGAGGTTGAGTGACCTCGATGTGGGGGGGTGGGGCATGGCAGCAGGTGGTGTGGGCATGGAGCGAATGCGGGCTAAACTCAGGTGGGCAAGCTGTCTGCTCAGCTCCCTCCCTTCCCTCTCCCACTTCGCCCCCGCCCCTCACGCCCTCTCTGCCTCCTGCCTTGTCTCGTAAGAGTTGCATTTGGTTCCACACCTGTGCTTTCATTCACTTCACCTGGGCTGCTGCCATCGCACTGCAGCATGGTAGACCGTAGAAGCATGAAGGGAGAGAGTGGGGGGAATGGAGAGTGGGGGATGGAGGCACAAACATAGCAATCAGGGGGCCGTGTCACACACACGCTTCACTGCTGCCCCCCTGCCTTCCCTGCCGGTGGTGCAGCATGCAGTGCGTGCAGGAAAGAAAGCGCACCCACCCACGCTGTCGCCACTCAAGCATGATCCCGCACTGTCACATCCCAACCCCTCTCCCTTCGCCCCCCCTTCCCTGGTGGGCGGGCAGGCAGCAGGAGGGGGAGGTGCGGCAGCTGCAGCGGGAGGTGCAGGAGGCGCGAGCAGCCAGAGACGCCACGGCGGACGAGCTGCTGAGAGTGTCACAGCGCCTGCTTGCGCTCGAGAAGGTGGGGGGGATGGGGGATGGGGAAGAGGGGGCGCGGAAGGGAGGGAAGCAGTGGGTGGTGGGGCAAAGTGCGTGTGTGTTGGATGGGAGTGGAGAGGCATTTGGTGGTGGTGCGTTGGAGGCAGGCGGAGAGGGCTTGAGAAGGTCTGGGAAGCAGTGGATATGCAAGCATGCCTGCTGCGCTCCGCTCCGCTCCAACACCGTGCTCACAGCATTCCCCCTCTCCTCGACCCGTCCCCGTGCCCTCTCCCCCTGCGCCCACCAGGAGCGAGTGGCGGTGCCGGCACTGGAAGCAGAGCTGCAGCAGTTGAGGGCGCGGCACGAGGTGGCGCTGGTGATGGTGGGCGAGCGCAACGAGCGTGTGGAGGAGCTGGAGGCGGACCTCACTGACGTGCGCTCTCTCTACAAGGAGCAGGTCGCTCTTCTCGCAGGGCAGGTGGGTAATGGCACGCACACAGGGCCGAGGTGGTGCTTGGGCAGGGGAGGGTGGTGTGAGTGAAGGGCACGAAGACAGCAGTGCAGGCACATGGCAGTGGGTGGGCCATGCATGGGTGCTGTGGGCACGCATTGCCGTTGCAGCGCCCCATGCCTCCATGGAGCACTCGCAACACTGCTACCATCCCCTTGATTCAAAATGCCCCCTCATGCCTGCCGCTCTGTGCCCCACTGCTCCATTCTCCACACTCTACCTCCCACTCTACCCACCCACCTCTCTACCCACTCACTCTCTGCCCTGTATGCCAGGTGGACCCAGCCAAGTGGCCGCAGGGCTACCGCATCTGCCTCTTCTGCCCGCACTGCGCCAAGACCCAGCGCTCCCACCCCAAGTAGCCCCTCATTCTGCATATGCATGTGCACTGCATTGTCACGAAACATAACAATTGTGCCTGTCATGCTGCTGTGCTGCAAGGTTCAATCAATGCCAAGGCTCATTTAAATAAACAACTCTGCACTTATCTGTTTGTGCTCTCGGGAGAAACAAATACTGGTACTGCCCTAGCAGTGTGGGAACGTGTGACATGAGCATTCACACTAGCAAGTAAGCAGTTCTCTAGTCATGGCTGCACACAGCCACCTCCATGGGGAGCGGCCCTCATCTCGTGCTGCTGCAGACACTTCTGAAAGCGGTTGTCACAAAGAAAAGGCACGCCGGCAGGGCGTTTATCTATCCACGCCTCTCACCCGCTGCTCACATGTCCTTCCGCTTCTTGCCCTTCCCCTTGCCCTTGCCCTTGTCCTGCGCGCCACTCCACTCCCTCTTCCTCTCCTGCACCTCCACCTGCTTCTGTGCCCTCGCTGCTGCTGCCCTCGCCCTTCTGCTCAGCTCCGCCTTCCGCCCCACCCCCTCCTGCTGCTGCCCCCCGCCCCCCTTACCCCCTCTGCCCACTGGGCGCTGCTGCTCGCTGTCCCCCTGGCCCCCCTTGGCCGGCTGTGGCGCTGTCCGCCCCACACCCGACACCAGCTCCTCCCAGGACACCTCCTCCCCTGCTGCTCCTCCTCTGCCTCCCCCCACCTCCTCCTCTTCTCTCCCTTCGCCTGCCTCCCCTTCCTTCTCTGAATCCTCTGACCCCTCTGCTCTTGCCTCTTCCTCCTCTCCTTCCTCTCCCTCCTCTCCTTCCTCTCTCTCCTCTCCTTCCTCTACCTCCTCTCCCTCCTCCCGCTCCTCGCCCTCCTCATCCTCTTCGTCCTCCTCTTCCACCACTTCCTCCTCCTCCAACTCCTCATCTTCCTCCTCCTCCCCCTCCTCTCCTCCTCCCTCCCCCTCGCCCCCCCGCTTCGCCCGCTTGCCTATCCTCCCCTGCCCCCGCGCGTCCTCCTCATCAAAGGCCAGTCCAGCATTGGTGGGAACGCGCATGTTCTGCTGCCGCCTTGCCACCTCGCGCAGCACCTCAGTCATCCTCTCCATCTGCTCACTCACCTGCCGCTGCTCCGCACTCTCCCCCTCCCCTACCTCCCCCTCCGCCCCTACCCCTTCCGCCCCCTCTGCATCCGCCCCCCCAGCGCCCTGCTTCCCTGCGGCCTTGCCCCCCGCGCCCTTGTGAGGGAGCGCGTCGGAGTCGGGCGGGGGGGTGAAGAAGGGGATTTTGCCCCGCTGCCAGTCGTGCAGCACCATCTTAGCCGCCGTCTTCACGTCCGGCTCCCCGCCCTGATGGGTGAAGGGTTGGGGGGAGGGGGGAGGGGGAGGTAACTTTGAGTCGACTCAGAAGGGGATCTTGCCGCGCTGCCAGTCGTGCAGCACCATCTTGGCCGCCGTCTTCACGTCCGGCTCCCCATCCTGTGGAGGGGGGAGGGGGGAGGGGGGAGGGAGGAGGGGGGAGGGGGGAGGGGGGAGGGGGGAGGGGGAGAGGAGGAGGGAGAGGGCGACACGGTAGAAAAAGGGAGGGAGTGGAAGGGACGAGAGTGAGGGAGGATAGTGGGGATGGAAAGGGGAGTGATGCAGCAAGGGGTTAGCAGAGCTGATGCAATGTACGCTTTGCATCAGCTCCCATGTGTGGCCATGTGTGTGTGGCCATGTGTGTGTGGCCATGTGTGTGTGGCCATGTGTGTGTGGCCATGTGTGTGTGGCCATGTGTGTGTGGCCGTGTGTGGGTGACGGTGTGTGTGTGGCCATGTGTGTGTGACCGTGTGTGGGTGGCCATGTGTGTGTGTGTGGCCATGTGTGGGTGGCTGTGACGCGGCTAAAGGAAGAAGAGGGAAATTTCCACAACGCCAGTCACAGTGACCCCCTGCGCTCACAGTGACCCCCTGCACTCACAGTGACGCCCTGCGCTCACAGTGACGCCCTGCGCTCACAGTGACGCCCTGCGCTCACAGTGACGCCCTGCGCTCACCTTGAGCAGCTTGCCAGAGCGTTTGGCCATCTGCGAGAGGAAGTCCGTCGCATCCTCCCTGGTGGGCCATGGGGCACAGCGCCGTGTGGCACAGCGCCGTGCGGCACAGCGGCGTGGACACAGGGCAACAAGCACTGGTCTCACCTTGAGCAGCTTGCCAGAGCGTTTGGCCATCTGCGAGAGGAAGTCTGTGGCGTCCTCCCTGGTGGGGCATGGGGCACCGTGCATGCGGGGGGGCACAGAGGGGTGGGGTACAGCAACGCGCAAGAAATGAAGTGAGATTACAGTGAGGCGCAAGAAATGAAGCGAGATTACAGTGAGGCGTTGGTCTCGCTGTCCCTCAACTCAAAACATTTCTCAATGCCGTAGGCGCGCGAGATGTACGCAGGCTTAACCCGGTTGAGCACGTCCGGGATGTGCTGGTCGGCGTCCTCCAGGTTGGCCACCCGCACCACGCCCTTGAGCACGGCGTTGGTCTCGCTGTCCCTTTGTCTCGTTGGTCTCGACAAAGAGGAGGGAGGGGGAGGAGCGAGGCAGGGCACACACCATTTCTCGATGCCGTAGGCACGGGAGATGTAAGCCGGCTTCACCCGGTTGAGCACGTCAGGGATGTGCTGGTCGGCGTCCTCCAGGTTGGCCACCCGCACCACGCCCTTGAGCACGGCGTTGGTCTCGCTGTCCCTTTGTCTCGTTGGTCTCGACAAAGAGGAGGGAGGGGGAGGAGCGAGGCAGGGCACGCACCATTTCTCGATGCCGTAGGCGCGGGAGATGTAAGCCGGCTTCACCCGGTTGAGCACGTCAGGGATGTGCTGGTCGGCGTCCTCCAGGTTGGCCACCCGCACCACGCCCTTGAGCACGGCGTTGGTCTCGCTGTCCCTTTGTCTCGTTGGTCTCGACAAAGAGGAGGGAGGGGGAGGAGCGAGGCACGGCACACACCATTTCTCAATGCCATAGGCGCGGGAGATGTAAGCCGGCTTCACCCGGTTGAGCACGTCAGGGATGTGCTGGTCGGCGTCCTCCAGGTTGGCCACCCTCACCACGCCCTTGAGCACCGCGTTGGTCTCGCTGTCCCGCGCGTCCGCGTACACGACGCCCGGGCAGTCGATGAGGAAGATGCGCTTCATCAGCGTTATGTACTGCCACACCTTCGTCTCGCCTGGCACTGGCGCCACCGAGCACACCTGTGGGGGCGGGGGGGTTGAAGGGGTAAGGAGGGGTGGAGACGGGGTGTTGGAGGAGAGGCATGCGGGCACCACGCCCGGGCAGTCGATGAGGAAGATGCGCTTCATGGGTGGGGGGGACTATTGAGGCGCCCCAAAAGTGATGTACTGCCACACCTTCGTCTCCCCTGGTAACGGCGCCACTGAGCACACCTGTGGGGGCGTGGTACGGGGGGTGGGGGGGTTGAAGGGGTGTGGGGCGGAGACGGGGTGTTGGAGGAGAGGCATGCGGACAGGACACGGGTTCACATCCCAGGAGCTGGGGAATGCAGACGAGAAGGGCGAGGGAGGGCAACAGGGGACGCGTTGACGGGTGAGTGAGGTTAGGGAGGGCTTGCCTTTTTGGTGCGCAGGGTACACTTTTGAGGCGCCTCAAAATGAGATTAGGGAGGGCTTGCCTTTTTGGTGCGCAGGGTGTTGATGACAGAGGAACAGAGGGAGGGAGGGACGGGTGCACATTGCCGTCAGCAAAACGATCTGGTATCAGCGAAAGAGCGCAACGCAAATGGCACGACCAATCACCTTGCGGCACAGAACCTGAAACATATCCAACCAAGCAGGGCGTACCTTTTTGGTGCGCAGGGTGTTGATGACGGACGACTTGCCGACGTTGGGGTAGCCTTTTGAGGCGCCTCAAAAGCGTTGATGGGTGGGTGGGGTCAGGGAGGGAGGGCGTACCTTTTGAGTCGACTCAAAAGTCACCTCGTACCTTCTTGGTGCGCAGGGTGTTGATGACGGACGACTTGCCGACGTTGGGGTAGCCGATGAAGCCCACGCTGATGGCCTGCTTGTCACTCTTCAGCCTCGCCACCTGCCGCAGCAGCGACAGCAGCGACCCCTGCATGGGGCGGCGCAGGGGGATGCACAGCGAGAGGCGCGCAGACGGGCGCACAGAGGGGAGGACTCGAATTTCAGATGGCGCTTTCGCAGGGCATGACGAGGCACGAATGAGTCGCACACAGGCTGCAGCAGCAGCAGCAGCAACCATGCACAGCGCTAGGCGGTTAATGCCCGCACACACGCCCAGCCTGCCTGCCATGGCACCTGGCCCAAGCGCAGGAGGCGGGCTTACCTTGCCGAAGGGGTTGGTGATGGGGTTACCTTGCCGAAGGGGTTGGTGATGGGGTTACCTTGCCGAAGGGGTTGGTGATGGGGTTACCTTGCCGAAGGGGTTGGTGATACCTTGCCGAAGGGGTTGGTGATGGGGTTACCTTGCCGAAGGGGTTGGTGATGGGGTTACCTTGCCGAAGGGGTTGGTGATGGGGTTACCTTGCCGAAGGGGTTGGTGATACCTTGCCGAAGGGGTTGGTGATGGGGTTACCTTGCCGAAGGGGTTGGTGATGGGGTTACCTTGCCGAAGGGGTTGGTGATGGAGGCGTGGAAGGCGAGCGTGGGGTACTCGCGAGACAGCGTTCTGAGCCACCCCTTTGCCACCCACGACGGCACCAGGTCGCACTGCACAGGGAGGGCGGGGGGGCAGGTGGGGGAGAGGAAGGGGGGCGTAGTTTTGAGGCGCCTCAAAACTAGCGCCCTGAGCCACCCCTTGGCCACCCACGACGGCACCAGGTCGCACTGCATGGCGCCAGTGCAGCACAGGCAGGGCGGGGCCCGGGGGGGCCAGGTGGGGGAGAGGAAGGGGGGCGGGAGGGCAGTGGATTTTGGATGATGGGACACGTGAGAGTGTGGGACACGGCAGTGGCGCGGGGACAGCGGGACAGCGGAACAGCGGACAGCACCTCACAACACCCCACAGACACGCACACGAGTGTCAATCACAGGTTGAGACGCAGTGGTGACGGCACTGACTGACCTTGTTGAGCAGCAGCAGCAGGTGCTTGTGCGGGAACTTGTCCCTCAAATGCCGCTCCAGGTATGTGCAGCGCGTGCCCATGGGGTCGCGCGCGTGCAGCACCTCACACCACCACACGAGTGCCAATCACTGGTTCACCAGTGCTCACACGCACCTTGTTGAGCAGCAGCAGCAGGTGCTTGTGGGGGCACTTGTCCCTCAAATGCTTCTCCAGGTACGTGCAGCGCGTGCCCATGGGGTCGCGCGCGTCGAGCACCTGCACCACCACGTCGCTCGAGTCCAGCACCTTGAACAGCTCGCCCCAGATGCGCCGGCTCTGCCCCTTGTCGAACATGCTGTGCCGCACCACCGCGCGCACCCCGTCCTCCGCGTCCTGCGCGCGCGTCAACGCCTCGCTGCCGCCCGCCTTGCCCGCAAACGACTCTGCGCGCCCCATGTGAGAGAGGGGAGGACGGGGAGGGAGGAGGGGAGACGGAGAATCGATACGCAGGGAAGGGAAAGGAGACGGGCGGAGGGGTGGGGAGCAGAGGTGGAAAGGTGGAGGGCAGCTAGCAGCTATCCGCATCCCTAACCCGTCTCCTTCTCGCGCGCCCCTCACTCCCCCCGCACCCTGCTTCACCGCGCCCCCCTCCCCGTACCCTGCTTCACCGCGCCCCCCTCCCCGTACCCTGCTTCACCGCGCCCCCCTCCCCGTACCCTGCTTCACCGCGCCCCCCTCCCCGTACCCTGCTTCCCGCTCCTCCTCCAACCTACCCTGCTTCCCGCCCCTCCTCCAACCTACCCTGCTTCCCGCCCCTCCTCCAACCTACCCTGTTTCTCCGCGCTGTGCTGCAGCAGCGACTCGTAGCCCTCGGCGGCGGCGCCCAGCTTGGGGCGGCGGCGCTTCGCGCCCGGCCCGAACGTGTCCTGGAACGGCTCCGTCTCCACTATGTGCACGCGCGCCTTGCCCTGGGGGGCCACAGGGAGGCAGAGGAGAGAAGGCGGGCGAGGGTTTAGGGGGGAAAAAGTGGAATGAGGGCAGGGGGAAAGGAGGAGCGGAGCTTGAGCGAGAGGGGAGGGCAGGACAGGAAGGGGGCGGCGCGAGTCACACCTGCGGTTGGTGGTTGAGGAGCGAGAGCGGCAGCGTGCGGTGCTTGAGCACGACGGTGTACGCGTCCGACACCTTGCTGCCCAGCTCCTCGCGAAACCGCTCCAGCTCGCGCTGCCCCACCACGCGCGTGTTGCCTGCGCCACGCCGTGCAAGGGTTTGGGGTTCGCAGGGGGGTTATATAGACGGAGTTAGGGCTTCCGCGCGGGTGGATGTTCGGTTGTGGGCAACGAAATCGCAGTAAGGATTGAATACCGCGCGCAAACCTAGGGTTCGAGGTTTCGGGTTTCCAGTTTTGAAGCACATCAGCGGAGCGCGGACAAACGAAGAGTTCGCAAATCACGACGCGTTACAGGGCACGTCAGCTTCAACCCGACTGCCCGCACGTAAATCCGTAAAACCGACTATTCGCCTTCAACAGTCACTCTAACAGCACCCCGCGCGCGTCACAAAGCTGACGTCAGCACGGCGAACAGATAGCGGAGGGCGGACGGGAGGGGGGAAGGAGGAGCGGGAGGGGCGGCGGGCGAGGTGCTGACCGAACCAGCGGCGGTCGGGTTTGATGCGCGTGTTGGGGAGCGCCTTGGACTGCAGGTCCGTGTGCAGCACATGGCCCTTGCTGTTGCGCCACGGCCGCGTCTTGTACATCGCCAGCCGCCGCACCGTCGCCGCCGACCGCATCGACGACCCCGGCCCGGTCGACGACTTGCCCATGCCCTCGCGGCGCGTGGCGTCCATGGAGTGGCCCGGCTTGCCCTTATTGGGCGTCGTCTCCTTCTTCTTCGCCATCGCCTCTCGCGACCGCTGAACGCGTCGCTGCGGTGTGGTGGGAAGGTGCGCACGCGTTTAGGGCAATGGGTGGTGTGGAGCGAACGGGAGAGCTGAGATCAAACGTATGGGGAGATGGAGAGACGACAAGGAAAGGCGTGGTTTCGTTGGAGAAAGGAAGTGTGGGTGGGAGAGTGTTGTGCTTTTGTGTGTATATTCCGTGTTTGAGGAAGACTCGTAACTAGCAGAGTGGATCGTAACTATTCTTGTGTGCGACCGGGTTGCGCAATTTTGATGTGCGCGTTCCTCGATATAGGGCAACTCTAAAGTGGAACTATTGTTGCTTGGCTGGTGCAGAGCTAGACTATGACATTTTGCTCTACACGAGCAAAATTGCGAATCTCGATGTCCTGAATGCTTTGCGAAATCATGGCCAATGGTTTTCCCGCTGATTGCCCCTCAAATTTCCTCTCCCGTCATTGGCGCACGTAACCGCACGTTATCTGCTCACTGCCCCATCCTCTGCCCGCAGCCACATCATTGGCCCATCCTGCCCCGTCAGCTGCCCCCCGTCCCCACCATCCCAAGTCACCAATCCTTCCGCGACATTGGGATTTGGGATTGTTGCGGTTGACGTGAAGGAAAGGTGCGAAAAGGATAGCTTAGGAGTTATCGTCTCCTAGTTTTTTTACCTTCCTCACCTCACACCGCCCGCTGCCACGCACCTTGGGATTGCGCACTTTCTTCCTCGGCGTGTCGCGCCCAAATTCGTTGCCGTGGCCTCTCTCTTTCCGGCTGCTTTCCCCGTGCCTCGGAAATATCAGGACAGCTCCACACGTGCATATTCGAGGCTGCCAAGTCTTGCGCTGTTCCTTGCCGTGCACGCCTTGCCCATTCCGCTTTGAGACGAATCGAAATGGCGTCGCTCGCCGCGTCCAAGGCGCTAATCGCCAGACCATCCAGCGGCCTCGCGGCCCGCTGCGCGCCGATGTCGTCCTCACACTCGACGGCAGCCGCCGCGCGCCAACTGGCGCTCGCCACCCCACAGAGCGCGTCAGTGCGGCCGCAACGGCGGAGAGCGGCGGTGCGCGTGGCGGCCAAGGCTGTGGAGGAGGTGCAGGTGGAGGAGCAGGCTGCCGTGCCAGGTCAGTCGCGCTTCGTCAGCCGCTGTTCTCTCGTCATCGCAACTGGGCTGTACGGTCAGGAAAATATGACATTGTGGAAGAATCGAAAATTAGCGAGTTCTTGCCACGAGCAAATCCGGTTGCTGGATGACGTAGATTATCTAGCTGCTGTTTCGTTTGTCGAGTTTGAATAGGGCAGACAGCGCTGACGTGCTGATTCTGCTTGTGTTCCTCGCGGGTCATTGACCTTCCTGATCGTAGCAACACCTTTCTTTCCCCTTGCCTTCCCCTCGCCTACCGCTTGCTTTCCCTTGCCTTCTCCGTGCTTCCAACTTGCATCCCGCCATCTGGCGCCATTCCCTATCCTCCCGTCACGCCCCTTCCCCGCGTGTTCCGCCGTCCCCCATGTCGCCCGCGCAGCGCCCTTCAACTTCGAGGCGTACATGTATGGCAAGGCCAAGGCGGTCAACGCGGCGCTGGACGCGGCGGTGCCGCTGCAGTACCCGGAGCGCATCCACGAGGCCATGCGCTACTCGCTGCTCGCCGGCGGCAAGCGCGTGCGCCCGTGCCTGTGCCTGGCGGCGTGCGAGCTGGTGGGCGGCAGCGACTCGGTGGCGATGGCGGCGGCGTGCGCGATGGAGATGATCCACACGATGTCGCTCATCCACGACGACCTGCCCTGCATGGACAACGACGACTTCCGCCGCGGCAAACCCACCAACCATAAGGTGCGCCGCACCACTGCACACGCGCTCGAGACGACCTCACGGTCCCGGACTCCCGGGCCGAGAGAGTTCACTTACGGGGATTTAGGGAGAGGCGGGACGGGGATAGGGGATTTTCACGGGATGGGGGTGGAAGTGGGAAATTCACCACGGTCGAACGGAGTGGCTGAAAGGAAACCAGCCACGAAAGGCTCGCTGAGGCAGCTCGTCCCTCATCCCACCGCCCTTCCTCTTCCATCATCTCGTGCTCACCGCCCCCATGTTTCCCCCCTCTCTATCCGCCCTCCCTCCTTCTCCCCCCTTTTTCCGCCCGCCGCCAGGTGTACGGGGAGGACGTGGCGGTGCTGGCGGGAGACGCGCTGCTGTCGTTCGCCTTCGAGCACGTTGCGCGCGCCACGCCCGCGTCCGTGCCGGCGGAGCGCGTGGTGCGCGTGATCGCCGACATGGGCAAGGCCGTCGGCTCCGAGGGGCTCGTCGCGGGCCAGGTGCGCGCACAGGGCCGGGGAGAGCGGGGCAGGAGGGGGAGGGAGGGTGTCGCGGGGGGGCGCGTGGATTAAAGTTTAAGATGGTGCGTTCGAAGTGCAATCGTCGCGGTCCTTCCAGCGGCCCTACAAGCAGCGGCCCATTGAAATGGGTGTTAAGGGCTGCAGAGTAAGGTTCAGCTTAGACGTCTGGCAGTAGAATCAAGTCAGACGCTTCCATGAACGGAGCAGAGCCCAAGGGAGGAGCGAGTGGAATTCGAGGCAAGAGGGTTAGATGGAACGTATGGGAATCAAAGTTGTCTTACCCCAATGCCCTCCCCTCCTGCCCCCCCATCGCACCCCTGCGCGCGCGGGCAGATCGTGGATCTGGACAGCGAGAGCGACCCGTCGGTGGGAGTGGAGACGCTGGAGTGTATCCACGTGCACAAGACCGCCTCTTCCCCCCCTTGCCTCCCCCCTCTCCCCCCTCCACGCGCGCTCCTCAGATCGTGGATCTGGACAGCGAGAGCGACCCGTCGGTGGGCGTGGAGACGCTGGAGTATATCCACGTGCACAAGACGGCGGCGCTGCTGGAAGTGTCGGTGGTGGCGGGCGCCGTGCTGGGCGGCGCCAAGGACGACCAGGTGGAGCGCCTCCGCAAGTACGCCCAGTTCGTTGGGCTCGGCTTCCAGGTGAGCCAGTTCGTTGGGCTCGGCTTCCAGGTGCGCTGCTGATGGACGAACTGGCTTCCAGGTGGGGTGTTTTTTTAGTTACCTTCTGCAAGAATTGCGAGGAGCGGAGGGCTTGGCGTCCAGGTGGGGGTGGGCGAGCCTCAGGTGGGATTGTGAAAACGGGGGTTTGGGGTTGATGCTGTAGCGGTGAAGCCAAGATGTTTGAGGGCGCACAGGCAGCCGAATATGGATCTGGGTACGAGTTACGGCATGCCATGATTAGCAACACGCAGAACACTGTGTGGCTTACGTGCCAAGGCAATCCCCATTCACCTCATTGTTGCCCCCCACACCACCGCTGGAGCCCCCTTTATCGATTATTTTCCACGCTCCCGTCCCCTCCTCCCTCCCCTTCCCACCCCACCCCTCCCCTCGTCTGCACTCCCTTCCCCTCCGCTCCTCTGTGTGCGTGTGTGGGTGTGCGGGCGGCCAGGTGGTGGACGACATTCTCGACGTGACCAAGTCAACGGAGGAGCTCGGCAACTTTTGAGTTGACTTAAAAGTCCATTCCTCTCCCCTTCCCTTTTCACCGCTCCCCTCCGCTGTGCATGCTGGCATGGCAGGTGGTGGACGACATTCTGGACGTGACCAAGTCCACAGAGGAGCTTGGCAAGACGGCCGGCAAGGACCTCGCACAGGACAAAACCACCTACCCCAAGTGAGACAAAATGTTCCACCCAAGTGAGACAAGCCACCAACTCAAATGAGACAAAACCACCTACCTCAAGTGAGACAAAACTTTCCACCCAAGTGAGACAAGCCACCTACTCAAATGAGACGAAACCACCGACCCCAAGTAAGACAAAACCACCCACTCCAAGTGACCTCTCATGACAAAACCACCTAGGCCAAATGAGCCTTTTCCACATACCCACCTACCCGTAGTGAGCTCTCTGGTATGGTGCAGGGCGAAACACCTACCCCAAGTGACCGCTCATTTGGGCGCATGCTTTCGCCCTTGCTCCTTATTTTTTTTATGCAGAGTGTAGAGAAATGCTAGTTCTTTGGTATCTCTGCATGTCCTTTCACCTCTCTAACCTCTTCATCACTTGCCCATTCCCCACTCTGTCCGTCATCCCATGAAGGTTGCTTGGGCTGGAGAAGTCAAAGGAGTTGGCAGAGGAGTTGATTAGGAAGGCCAAGGAGCAGCTCAGCACATTCGACCAGCACAAGGCGGCTCCCCTCATCGGCCTTGCTGACTTCATTGCTTATCGCCAAAATTGACAGGCTAGGGAGGGTTAGGCGAAAGATTGAATAATTTAGCTCACAGATTCTTTTAGGGGACGCTTCAGGTTTACGGTAGCTGTGAAAGGGAAGGAAATTGAGTTAATAATAGCAGTGAGTTGTGTAATATATCGTGTTACTCGTCAACGATTGCGCCAGTTCGCCTTCGCGAGCTCGTCGATAACACACCATCTCGAGTGTTTAGATAAGGTTCCAAATATCCGGTTACCACATACAATTTCCACATTCGCGAGAGCGAATCAGCAAGTTAGCTCAGTTTCGTTCACCATATTTCGAATCAGCATCTTTACACTCCCTAGAATCGTCATATTTCAGCCCACATTCGTGCATTTCCACACTGCGCCTAATTCCTTGCCCTCGGCGCATTGCCACGTGCACGGCACCGTTACGTAGTATATTTCAACGCACCGCAAGCGACCGGCAGTCCGACGCTTCCGCGTGTGCGGAGCATGGCTCGTGTCGTGCCTTGCCCGCACATCGCCAATCGTGCTACTGCGTCTCCGCACTGCGCCGCGTCGTGCTCCTCAATCGCACCGACATGGAACCCCATACCGTCCTCCTTCTCGCCTTTCGCCTCCGCGCTACGGCCAGCGGCCACTCCTCCGCGATTAACGGCGAATCCGCTAACGCGCGCGCGTGGGCCGCTGCGGCCGTTGCCAGCTAGGCGGCGTGCGCCCGTGGTGCGCGCGGCGGGGCAGGAGGGCGGAGAGAAGGACGAAGACAAGCCCAAGGCCGTCGGCACTCTGCCCGACGGCGAAGCCGGCAGTAAACCGCCCGAATCCCCTTCTCCGCCTCCCCCGCCGTCCGCCGCCCCGCCGTCGTCCCCCGCGCCGGTGCAGCTGGACTCGTACGCGGTGGTGGCGCTGCTGGGGCCCGAGAAGGTCGACGCGGACGACGTGGCGCTGCTGCGCGCCAAGCTCTTCGGCTACTCCACCTTCTTCGTCACCGGCCAGGAGCCCTTTGGCGAGGCGGGCGAAGCCGTGCTGTTACAGGGTAACCTGCGCGGCCCTAAGGAGGAGGTGTTCGCGAAGCTGCGCGCGGGCATGCGGCTGCTGTTCGGCGCAAAGTACGAGCTGCTGATGGTGCGGGAGCCGCGCAAGCCGGGCGCGGCGGCGAGCGAGGGGGAGGGGAAGGAGGAGCGCGTGGCGATGGTGGTGGTGCGCGCGGAGCAGCTGCAGGGCCGCGCCACCTCCGCGTGGCAGTTCGCGCTCGGCGCGCTGCTGCTCGCGCTCACCGGAGGGGCGTGCCTTGAACTGGGACTCGCCAGCCAGGTGGGGGAATTTTCAGGGGAAAAGGGGGGGGAAGAGAAGAAGGAAGCGGAAAGGGGGGGATAGAATCTGCGAATAGTGGATTATTGGGGCTGGGAGGAAGAGAGAGGAGAAATTCAGGGGTTTGAATGGCGGGAGGGTGTAATGGAGGAGTTGGGTGGGGTGTGGTGCGATGGTGCAGATCGCTAGCACTCATTGGACAGGGTAGGGAGGGCAGAGCACGAGTACAATAGTGCAGGGGTGAGCTGAGCCAGCAGTATTCCAACCAATCACCCACGCCCACCCCCTCCCCCTTTGCGTGCCGCCCAGATCTCCAAGGTGTCGCCGGATGTGATTCGCTACTTCACGTCACCCAATCCCGAGGAGCTGACCCCGCCTGACGTGGCAGTGCTGGTACCCCTCGTGCAAAACGCCCTGCCCATCGCCTACGGGGTCTTTGGCGTGCAAGTCTTCCACGTGAGTGCAAGTCTTCCACGTGAGTGCAAGTCTTCCACGTGAGTGCAAGTCTTCCACGTGAGTGCAAGTCTTCCACGTGAGTGCAAGTCTTCCACGTGAGTGCAAGTCTTCCACGTGAGTGCAAGTCTTCCACGTGAGTGCAAGTCTTCCACGTGAGTGCAAGTCTTCCACGTGAGTGCAAGTCTTCCACGTGAGTGCAAGTCTTCCACGTGAGTGCAAGTCTTCCACGTGAGTGCAAGTCTTCCACGTGAGTGCAAGTCTTCCACGTGAGTGCAAGTCTTCCACGTGAGTGCAAGTCTTCCACGTGAGTGCAAGTCTTCCACGTGAGTGCAAGTCTTCCACGTGAGTGCAAGTCTTCCACGTGAGTGCAAGTCTTCCACGTGAGTGCAAGTCTTCCACGTGAGTGCAAGTCTTCCACGTGAGTGCAAGTCTTCCACGTGAGTGCAAGTCTTCCACGTGAGTGCAAGTCTTCCACGTGAGTGCAAGTCTTCCACGTGAGTGCAAGTCTTCCACGTGAGTGCAAGTCTTCCACGTGAGTGCAAGTCTTCCACGTGAGTGCAAGTCTTCCACGTGAGTGCAAGTCTTCCACGTGAGTGCAAGTCTTCCACGTGAGTGCAAGTCTTCCACGTGAGTGCAAGTCTTCCACGTGAGTGCAAGTCTTCCACGTGAGTGCAAGTCTTCCACGTGAGTGCAAGTCTTCCACGTGAGTGCAAGTCTTCCACGTGAGTGCAAGTCTTCCACGTGAGTGCAAGTCTTCCACGTGAGTGCAAGTCTTCCACGTGAGTGCAAGTCTTCCACGTGAGTGCAAGTCTTCCACGTGAGTGCAAGTCTTCCACGTGAGTGCAAGTCTTCCACGTGAGTGCAAGTCTTCCACGTGAGTGCAAGTCTTCCACGTGAGTGCAAGTCTTCCACGTGAGTGCAAGTCTTCCACGTGAGTGCAAGTCTTCCACGTGAGTGCAAGTCTTCCACGTGAGTGCAAGTCTTCCACGTGAGTGCAAGTCTTCCACGTGAGTGCAAGTCTTCCACGTGAGTGCAAGTCTTCCACGTGAGTGCAAGTCTTCCACGTGAGTGCAAGTCTTCCACGTGAGTGCAAGTCTTCCACGTGAGTGCAAGTCTTCCACGTGAGTGCAAGTCTTCCACGTGAGTGCAAGTCTTCCACGTGAGTGCAAGTCTTCCACGTGAGTGCAAGTCTTCCACGTGAGTGCAAGTCTTCCACGTGAGTGCAAGTCTTCCACGTGAGTGCAAGTCTTCCACGTGAGTGCAAGTCTTCCACGTGAGTGCAAGTCTTCCACGTGAGTGCAAGTCTTCCACGTGAGTGCAAGTCTTCCACGTGAGTGCAAGTCTTCCACGTGAGTGCAAGTCTTCCACGTGAGTGCAAGTCTTCCACGTGAGTGCAAGTCTTCCACGTGAGACAGGGGCAGGTGCAGGTGGGTGTTTCAAGGGCATGCGGGCACGTTCCATGTCTTCGTCTCCCTCGCATCAGGTGTTGTTGGCGTGGCTCAATGGACCCCTCTCACCCTCTCACATCCAGCATCCACGTGTTCATGTGTGATGCTCTGTCCTTCCCTCCCTGCCAACCACTCACTTCCCTCATCCAACCACTCACGACCGAAACCCAACCGGCTTCACGTCGCTCCACCCAACCACACCAGGAGGTGGCCCACTGGCTGACGGCAGCACAGAAGCGGGTCAGGCTCGGCATCCCGTACCTCATCCCCAACATCACCATCGGCAGCTTCGGGGCCATCACTCAGGTACAGTGAACCTGGATGAGCCTTCGTAGCCGCCCCCTTCTCCTCTGCTTTAATAACATGCAGTTCGAGTCTTTTCTCATTCTCCTCCCACCCCCTCCTTCCCTAATGCCTCACTCGCTTCCCTCTCATCCCTCCCCACACACCCTAACTCTCATGCGATCTCTCCCCCTTCGTCTCCACCCGCCAGATCAAGAGCCCCTGTCCCAACCGCACTGCTCTCTTTGACATTGCCATTGCCGGCCCGCTAGCCGGCGCCACCCTGTCGCTCGCCATGTTCGCGGCAGGCCTCGCCCTCTCGCTGCCGCCTGCAGGCCCGCTGGCAGCGCTGCCGGGGCTGCAGGAGTCGCTGGTGCAGGTGCCCTCGCAGCTCTTCCAGGGCTCCCTGCTGCTCGGCGCACTCTGTCGAGCCGTGCTGGGATACGAGTGAGTGGAGAGCGGTGCTGGGATTCGAGTGGGAGTTTTTGAAAAGAGGGTGGAAGACTAGTAGGCCTCTCCACACGCACTATAATGCCTACATTGTGGTCCAATATGTCCCATCGGTGTCCTGTATCCTGTGCCCTTCCCCTCTGTGCTTCCACTCAGCTTGATGCACGTGCAGGCAATCACCATCCACCCCCTCATCATTGTTGGATGGTACGTGCTTCTGCTCACATTCGATTGCCATCCCCCTCGGGTGCCCCACTTTGCTTGCCATACATGCATTTCAGAACCTTGCCAGCCTGTAGTCCATCCTCCTGCTCCATTGCCTCACCATGCAAGCTCACACTACCGCCCCACCAACCTGCCATTTCCCTGCTGCCACAGGTGTGGCCTGACCACCTCTGCTCTCAATCTGTTGCCAGCAGGCCGGATTGACGGGGGGCGAGCCACACAGGTATGCCTCCCAGTGCATTTCGCTTCATGGCTGAACATCTGTTGTTACAGGTTGGCCGCTCCTTTCTTTCCGTCCTTGCATTTACCTCACAAGCGTTCTCTGAATGCACTCTTGTTTATGCATGCACCCAGGCTGCATTTGGGCGTGACACTGTGGGCATCACTAGCCTTGTGATGTATGGACTTCTGGGCATCGGCTTGGTGAGTGCACTCATGAGCAGTCTTCCACTCGTTTCAGCCTCGGGCCTAGCTTCAATGTACACCTTGCCCTGAAAACGGCTTTTAATCAAGCCTGTTTTACCTACCTACCTGCACACTAATGCTTACTTTGCCTGTTTGTACCCTGTTCCTGGCCTGCTGGCAGCTTGGAGGACCATTTTCTCTGCCCTTTGGTCTCTACATCCTCTTTCTTCAGGTATGTTTCCTTCGTGCCGCATGTCATCCCCCAAAATTGTGGGCTGTAGCTCGTGAAGAAATGGTTCCAAAACCCTGTTTCTGTGCTGGGTAAATTCGACTGATCTGCAGTCTTCGTGCTAATTCCACTCATTGTGCTTCCCTTGCCCATCAGAGGGACTTCGAGAAGCCTGCATTGAACGACGTCACAGGGGTTGGCTGGCAGAGGCAGCTGGTCCTTGCTGGGGCAATCGCCCTGGCAGTTGGCACACTTCTGCCAATTTGGGATGGACTTGCTGATGACCTCGGTATTGGCATCGGAAGCCAGCTACTATTCTGATCCTTGCCTCAATAGTCTCATGTAGTCCTATTCAAGCAATCATAGGAGGGTCCACCATTGTCCATTTCCATTGAAATGTTATTGTTTCTGGGAAGAGTTCATTTAACCTATGCAGGCAGCTTTGAAGCTGCGGCGGAATCCACAAACCAGGTGACTGATCCAGTATAAGGACGGACAAGCTGAGCAGGCAGTGCACCTGGTAAAGCAAGCCTCCCGAAGATTCTCTGGACAACCTCAGCTTTTCCCTTTCCTGCCGCGACAAATGCAACCTGATCACAACCACAATCAAATTGTCAGTGAACAAGCAAAGGTGACCAGCCCTGGCCAAAGAACGAGTGTCAGTGGAACGCAAACAGACACTCACATTTGAAGCACAGTTGATGACAGGAAGCGTCATGGTGATCCGTTCTGGAGGTGGTTTCGGCGAGTTTGTGACAGGAAGCACCCATCTTGATGTTTCACGCAACAGCGGACTGTTGGGGAAGAGTGAAGCCACGTGGCCATCAGGACCGAATCCAAGAAGAATCTGCACAGTCCAAAAGGTCCCATCAGGATTGGCCACTTGTGGGCAATCAAACATCATTGAGTGCAAGGATTCTCACCAGGTCAATACGAGGAAACGGCACACCCTGTGTTGTTCTGAGAACGCCCTCCTCCACAAGCTCTCTGAAGGATGATAGGTTATGATGTTAATTAGATGAAGGTTTCTTTCACACAGGAACAACGTAAGCAACATGCTCCTGGTGGCTGGCACGTACTTCATCAGTTCCTCGTAGTCGCTTGCAGCTTCCACAACAGACAATTCATCATCAATAGAGTAAATATGCTCCTCAGGAATGGGAACCTTCGATAGCACCTCGTCCTGCATAGGTGCCAAACGCCCTGAAAGTACATCAGCACCCTCGGATTCAACCATTGACAGCTATCCCAGGTACCCACCATCGCGAGCTTGTAGTTACTGTCAGGACTCGAAAGCTTCACCGCACGCTCATCCACCCACAGGACGTGCCAATTCTTCCAATCTATTGACGATCTGAAGGGTTCTTCAGTCAGCTTCAATAGAGCCTGCAACCAGGAACTATGAGCGTTTAGACACACATATCTGTAGACGTACCGCTCACGAAACAGACATAGCTACGTTGAGACATACATTGACCAGCGAGCCCCCAGATAGCGCAATGGTAAAAGCACCCCTGGCCTTCGTCGCCTCTCCCGAAAGCCGCTGAATGTACTCCGCCACCGCGGAGGCGACCTCGGATGCGGATTCTTCGCGGCTAATGTACACCTTCGCCTCATGGTCAGGGTAAGGAACCACCAGCTTCGACTTCGGGAATGTGACTGTGAGTTCATCTGAGACTCCGACCTCATTGCTGGCCCAGACGGTTGTTTTTCTAACGCGCTGGCTAAGAAACGTAGCGGGATCTGAAAATCGGACATTCAACTTCTGGTTGATAGAACAGGATCCAGGGAAGAACGAGGCCTGCAAGAATACGAGCGTCAAGTTGCTGCAAATTGGTGTGGGAGCATTGTTTACTCTATGCCGTACGTTCCCCTCTTATCCAACGGCGGAACATTGTGTTACAAAACACGCCAAATTCTTATTTTCGCCTGTGTTCCCATTCAATCGTGAAGCGTCGCAGCCAAGCTGCCTCTGCGATTTTACTCCAGCCCAACCAATGCGCTTCCATCATTTCCTGCCACAACCTGCCAGCGGAACCCACACCCACCAATCCCAGCACACATCTCGTTCCCCTCAAAACCCCACCTTTCACTACCTTCTTTCCGAATCTTCGATTCAAATCTTCCATTCCATTTCTGTGTTCACGTTTCGTTGCTGCTTGCTCTGGCCTTACCCTACCATTTTTAGGAAAGCGTATTCGCTGGTTCTCATGGCGATGCCCGTGCAATCCTCGCCCTATTCCGGGAATGTTATTACCACAGAACTTATTCAAAAGGTATGCATTTTTTCGCTGTCTTCGGTTGTTGATTGATCCCCAACCCTATATCTCGCAACTTACTCCTTGATTTTTGGTTGAGCAGTATTTGGACGAGAATAAGCAGCTGATTCTTGCGATCCTCGACAATCAGAACTTGGGGAAACTTAATGAATGCGCACAGTAAGTTGTGCATATGCGATTTGTTTTACAGAGGGAGAACTATTGCATGTACATATGGCTAACAATATTGTTCGTGTGTTACAGATACCAGGCTAGGCTGCAGCAAAATCTTATGTATCTAGCTGCGATCGCCGATGCGCAACCTCAAGTTCCTCCTCCTCAGGTATCAGACTACAATAATCATCAACTCATGTCTGCTTCCAAACAGCCTTCTACCATATTTACTCTGATGTCATGTTATTTATGGCTTGCAAATTGCACCTCTTGCGCAGGCACCAACGGTTCAGCCAGGTCAGACGTACACACAGCCTTCAGCAGCGGCGCAGCCTGTTCCAGCAGCTCAAGTTCCAGGCCAGCAGGTTCAATACGCTCAGCAACCACAGCAAGTGCAGTATCAGCCATCACAGCAGCAGCCTACCGCCCCTGCTCAACAGCAGCAGCCACAGCAGCAGCAGCAGCAACCCGCGCCGCCGCAGCAGTACCAGCAGCCGGCGCAGCCAGCACCACAAACGCAGCAGCAGCAGCAACCGCAGCAGCAGCAATATCAGCAAGCACCACAGAAACCCCAACAATCCCTTCCTGCCCAGCAGCAACCGCAGCAGCAATACCAGCAGTCGCCGCAGCAGCAGTTCCCGCAGCAGGCTCAGCCACAACAGTACCAGCAGTCCACACAGCAGTACCAGCAACCAGCGCAGCAGTACCCTGTTCAACAGCAGCAGCCACAGCCACAGCAACAGGCGCTGCAACCCCAGCAGCAGCCTACATATCAGCAGCAGCCGCAGCAACAGCAGATGCAGCCAATGCAGCCCGTTCAGCCAGCTCAGGGAATTCAGCAGCCACTTCAGACGCCGCAACAACCCTTGCAAATGGCTCCACAGCAGACAGTCTCTGTCCCCCAGGACCAACAGCCGTCGTATTCGCAGGGCCAGCAGATGATGCAGCAGCAGCAGATGGCTCCAGCTGCATCTCAGCCGGTTGTTGCCAGCGCTGTGAGCGGCGCTGGCAGCGAAGCCTCTGCAGGAGGAAACGGTGCTCCTGTTGGCAGCTTTGGCGACTATGGGCAGGCACAGGTTGCTCAGCCACAGGCACCTACAGCACAACCAGCAGATACGAATATGGCCATGCCAGGTACAGGAATGTAGACACTTTTTCCTTCCTTGTTTGCACAGTACTGATACAGGGCTTCACAGTCTCCAACTTCTGGGAATAGGTTGCTTTCAGACATCATAAAAACCTCCCTTGGGTCTCCCTCACTTTCTTTGCATTCTCCTCCATTGTCTTGCTGACAGCTGGTACCGTAAATCCTGCTTGACTTAACTACTGTAGTAACTCATGAGCTTCCCATCAGCTATGGTATTACTAGCAATGATGTAATTTTTTAAGTGCTTTAAAATCCACCATTTCATTGCTGTTATGCACATGAGATAACAGTACAGCCTAGGTTTAAAAACCAATGCGCATTCGTGTTTCAGTGAAACGATGAATTCTAGTGTACTGTATACGTCTACGCCGCAATTGAGAACGGGGGGGCAGGTTCACTCGGCCACGTCACTCACCAACTCCTGCGACCACAGAAGCGCCGTTATGATGAACGGGACATCCCTACTGTACGTGTCGGTTGAAATGGAAAGCTCTCCCTCACTCGGCCCTCAGTCCAGCGGAAACCGTCTGGTACAGTTACGGCATGGTAGATTGTACACGACAAACTACAGTTAGGACGCAGTAAAAGTGCAAAATCGCAGGATCGTCTGCAAATATCGAGCCCCACAATCGAGTGGGCAGCTCGATTCGCGAAACGTGGCGATCGCGACGTTGTAACGATCGCACCTGAGTTTTGGGGTGATCTCCCGCAGTCAACAATCAGTCGCCTCCCCTCGCTGTGCAGTGTTTTCGGCCAAAAAACGTACTGTAGTATGGTTACAAGGTAGTAAACAGGGTAACCGATTGTCTACTTTTACCGCGTCCTTAGTTGTGGAATTGCTTTGCGAAATGAGGAGTGCAGGTGATCAGATGGAACCTGAATCAGTTGTGGATTAGCAGTGGCGTTCAGGAAATCCGTGCATTACCTGGACTGGAGTTGCCTGTCTGTCTGTCTTTATATAAATCAGCCCATTTTTTAGCTCGTCAGCCATTCTCTGAGTGAAAGCAGAGGCTTACAAAACCAGCTCTTACAGTTGTGTGTCACCTACAGCGGCCTGGTCCTGTTCCCTGAATCCAACATCGCGCCATCATCGAATTGCAATTGACTGACTGAGAGAATGAGGCCGGTCGTACTCCTACTGCTGCTGCACGCATGTCTACTATCGTCGCATCGCCTCGCCGCAGCACGCACGCCTCTCGCCGAAGCGGACGGCGACTCGAGTAGCAGCAGCCGTCGCGAGCTGCAAGGTCAGTGGGCCCGTCCTTCTCACGGCATTGCCGTTGCGGATTCCACGGGCCGGACCGCCAAAAGAAAGTTCAGCGTCGAGGTTTGAGAATCTCGCCACGAACGGCCCCAATTGTGTCGCTTCCCCTCCCGCCATTCCAACGCCGAGCCTTGCACCGCCCCGCGCGCACGTTCTCCCCGTCGCCCTCCCCATTTCCCCCTTGCAGCGTCGTGCCCCGCGGGCGTGGTGTGTCCGACGGGCGCGACGTGCGCGGTGGACGGCAGCGGATACCCCTTCTGCAAGTGCGCGGCGGGGCAGGCCATCATCAACGGCGTGTGCGCGCCGGCCGCCAGCTGGGCGGAGGTCGGCACCAACGTCGTGCTCTACAACCGCGGCTCGTACACCAACTACCCCAAAACACTCGCGCCGGCCGTGCTGCGCGGCGCGGCGCCGAACTCGAGCGCGTGCGTGAACCTGCCGGCGTCGTTCAACGGGTCGGTGGGGTCGCTGCGGATCATGTGGAACGTGAACGACGGCGTGGCGAACCACCTGGTGTGCGGCAAGCTCTTCTTCTGGGACAAACCCAACTGCTGCTGCTCCGGCTCGGGTTACCAGATCCCCGGCGGGTGGACCACCGTCGACCCCAACAAGTTCACCTACACCAGCACCAGCGTCAAGTGAGCCGCGCCCCATCCCGCCACACTCCCGCACGCCCTTGCGCGCTCACCACTTCCCATGCACCCGCATTCCGTCCCATCGCTGACACTCCTCGTCTGCTTCCATGCTTGCCGTTGACCTCGTTGACTGACTCAGACTGCATTGACTGCGTTGACTGCGTTGACCGCGTGCAGGTCGGCGAGCAGCATTATTCTGACGGCGAGGTCCATCTCGTGCCAGGCCGCCATCGCCACCAACACGTACCCCTGCGCCACCAAGACCTGCCCCGTCAACGCCGCGTGCTCCGTGGTCAACAGTGCCGCCGTGTGCACGTGCAACGCTGGATACAGCATGGTCAGCGGGCAATGCGTTGGTGAGTCGGCCTTCTGTTCCGCAGTGCTGCGCAATGCAGTGTTAGCGCCACGCAACCTGCGCCCTCACTCTTTTCTGCATCTGCCCCTACTTCCCCTTGTGTCAGCAACAACGTCCAACCCGTGCACGGGGTACAGCTGTCCCGCCAACTCAGCATGCTCCAACGTCAATGGCGTCGCCACGTGCACGTGCAGTGCTGGTTACCAGATGGTTAACGGCCAGTGTGTCGGTGAGTCACTTCCGTTGAATCCATTTCATTAGCCTGCCTCTCTTCCTTTCCACCAACCCTCCAATCTCACCTTTCCATTTATATCTCCCCAAATCTATCCACCTCTTCTCCTCCATTCCCTCCCTACGTCCTGTCCCGTCCTCCCAATCACCTCCGATTTCAATGGTCTCCCGCCAATTCAAATTTATTTTCCTTCGCTCTCTCTTCCCCCAACCACCAGTGCCCAACCCGTGCACGGGGTACACCTGTCCCGCCAACTCAGCATGCTCCAACGTGAATGGCGTCGCCACGTGCACGTGCAGTGCTGGTTACCAGATGGTCAACGGCCAGTGCGTTGGTGAGTTGCCTCCCCTCTCTCTCGCTCCATCAAATTCCACCTCTCCTCCCACTCCCCCTCTCTCTCTACCTCCTCTCTCCACTCCATTCCTCTCTCAGCCAATTTTTTCCTCCGTTCTCCCTTTTTCACCTCTGATGTCTCTCCTGCCTCTTGCCCATGCGTTTATTTGCCTGCCCCCTTGCACTCTCCTCCCCCCACACCAGTGCCCAACCCTTGCACGGGGTACAGCTGTCCCGTTAACTCAGCGTGCTCCAACGTCAACGGTGTTGCCACGTGCACGTGCAATACTGGTTACCAGATGGTCAACGGACAGTGCGTGGGTGAGTCAGCTCCGTTTATTTTCAATCACTCAGCCTACTTTCCCTCCTCGCATCCAACCCATTAATCTCTCCTGTGTTTTATCTCCCCCAATCTATCCGCCACTTCTCCGCTCCATTCCCTCCCTCCATCATGTCCCGTCCTCTCCTCTCCTCCAATTTCTCTTTTGCCTCTAGCCAATTAGCTTTTTTGCTTGTCCCCTTGTTCTCCCCTGCCCCCACACCAGTGCCCAACCCGTGCACGGGGTACAGCTGTCCCGCCAACTCAGCATGCTCCAACGTTAATGGTGTCGCCACGTGCACGTGCAATACCGGATACCAGATGGTCAACGGCCAGTGCGTGGGTGAGTCAGCTGCCTTTATCTCACTCTGTGAATCTCCACCTATCCTTTACCCCCCAAGCCCCCACTCTCTCCTTTCCGACTGTCTCTCCTCCCTCTTTCCACCTCTTCTGCTCTCCACTTCCTCCACCCTTCTCCCCGCACCTCCGATTTCTCTCTTGTTTCTGACCAACACGAATATCTGCTGGTTTCCCTGCCTTCCCCTCTCCCATTCACCAGTGCCCAACCCGTGCACGGGGTACAGCTGTCCCGCCAACTCAGCATGCTCCAACGTCAATGGCGTCGCCACGTGCACGTGCAGTGCTGGTTACCAGATGGTCAACGGCCAGTGCGTCGGTGAGTTAATTTCCCTTTCTCTCACTCACTCCATCAATTACCGACTCTCCCCGTTCTCTCCATCTCCTCTCCTCTCCACTCCCTTCCTTTCTCAGCCATTTTCTCCTTCCCCCGTTCTCCCCTTTTCACTTCGGCTTTATTGCTTGTCTCTGGCCAAAAAGGTTTTTTCGCTTCCCTTGCTCTCCCATCTCCCGAACATCAGTGCCCAACCCGTGCACGGGGTACAGTTGTCCCGCCAACTCGGCATGTTCAAATGTCAATGGCGTCGCCACGTGCACGTGCAATACCGGTTACCAGATGGTCGGCGGCCAGTGCGTTGGTGAGCTACTCCCCTTTCTCTCTCACTCCATCAATTTCCACCTCTCCTCCTCCTCCCTCCCCCACTCCTTCCCCCTCCCCCTCCCCCCACACACACTGTACCGCTCCTCTTCACTCCCTCCCTCTCTCAACGGTTCGCCCCCCTAATCCCCTGTTATTCGTTTCTCACCCCCGACTCGTTTCTGCTTGTTTCCTTGCCCTCTCCCCCGTTCCAAAACACACAGTGCCCAACCCGTGCACGGGGTACACCTGTCCCGCCAACTCAGCATGCTCCAACGTCAATGGCGTCGCCACGTGCACGTGCAGCACCGGCTACCAGATGGTCAATGGCCAGTGCGTCGGTGAGTCAACGCGGGTTCACGGTTCCCACATCACACATGCATGTGCACTTCCACACACGCATGCATGCCCGTGTGCCCTCCTTGAGACTTCCCCTTCATTCGCCCATACCCTACAACCTCTTGGTCCTCCTCCCCCGCTTCCCCCCCCCCCCCACACTCTGTGCTGTGAGCAGCAATCACCGACCCGTGTCTGACAACCACGTGTCCCGCCAAGGCCACGTGCAGCAGCGTGAATGGCGTGGCCACGTGTGTGTGCGCCGTGGGCTACACCCTCGTCAGCGGCGCCTGCCAGCGTACGCGCTCCTGGCCCCCTTCAGCCCCTCTCTCACTCTCTCCTTCTTCGTTTGCCCTCGCGTCCGTCCGCGCCCCCCCACCCTCTCTCTCTCTCCCCTCGTTACCGCTCTTGCCCTTGTCGACCCTCCCACCCTCACCCACCAGCCCAGCTGCCGTCTCTCTTTCCTTCCTCTCCGCCTCTACTTACCGCCTCACTCGCCCATGCATGCACCCCTCTAATGCTCTGTGCAAGTCCTCTTCTTCCCCCACTCCTCCCCCCTTTCCCCGACCACCAGCGGCCGCCCCCTGCTCGTTGGTGAAATGCCCGGCCAACTGCACCTGCTCCTCCGCCAATGGCGTCGCCAAGTGTGACTGCCCCAATGGTTAGTGCCGCCACCTCTCCCCCCTCTACCCCCGTCCTCCACTCCACCCTCCGCCCTCCCTGCTTCGCTGCTCTCCTCGCTTTGTATTCTTCCCCCAACCCCCCTTCCCCCCACTCTCCTGCCGCCTCCCTTGCTCACTCGCCTCTGTACTCTTCCCCTTTCCCCCACGCCCCCCCACTACTCGGCGAGCAGACCTGTGCTACGGGGTGAAGTGTCCCGACGTCTCCAAGTGCACTTTCATGCTCGGCGCGCCCGTCTGCACGTGCCCTGCGCCCTACACGCGCCTCATTGACAACAAGTGCTCCTCCGGTCAGTGCTGCCCCCTCCTGCCCTCCTCCCCTCCTCTCTTCCTACCCGCCTGATCTCTTGCCCTCCTGCCATGCTGCGTGCACTGCATTATTCCAAGCCTTTCTTTCTCTCCCTCACCCCCTCCATCCCTCGCCCTGCATGCAGCAACGTTGGCGAATTCGGACTATCTGGACAACCAAAACGCGGCCAGGGCGGCAGTGGGCGCCATTCCGCTCGTCTGGAACGCCTCCCGTGAGTGCCCACCACCTCGCCCTTCCTCATGCGTGATGCCGCCTCTTGCCACGCCTCTTCTGCCTCTTGCCACGCCTCTTCTGCCTCTTGCCACGCCTTGTCTGCCTCTTGCCAAGCCTCTTCTGCCTCTTGCCACGCCTCTTCTGCCTCTTGCCACGCCTTGTCTGCCTCTTGCCAAGCCTCTTCTGCCTCTTGCCACGCCTCTTCTGCCTCTTGCCACGCCTTGTCTGCCTCTTGCCAAGCCTCTTCTGCCTCTTGCCACGCCTCTTCTGCCTCTTGCCACGCCTTGTCTGCCTCTTGCCAAGCCTCTTCTGCCTCTTGCCACGCCTCTTCTGCCTCTTGCCACGCCTTGTCTGCCTCTTGCCAAGCCTCTTCTGCCTCTTGCCACGCCTCTTCTGCCTCTTGCCACGCCTTGTCTGCCTCTTGCCAAGCCTCTTCTGCCTCTTGCCACGCCTCTTCTGCCTCTTGCCACGCCTTGTCTGCCTCTTGCCAAGCCTCTTCTGCCTCTTGCCACGCCTCTTCTGCCTCTTGCCAAGCCTCTTCTGCCTCTTGCCACGCCTCTTCTGCCTCTTGCCAAGCCTCTTCTGCCTCTTGCCACGCCTCTTCTGCCTCTTGCCACGCCTCTTCTGCCTCTTGCCACGCCTTGTCTGCCTCTTGCCAAGCCTCTTCTGCCTCTTGCCACGCCTCTTCTGTCTCTTGCCACGCCTTGTCTGCCTCTTGCCAAGCCTCTTCTGCCTCTTGCCACGCCTCTTCTGCCTCTTGCCACGCCTTGTCTGCCTCTTGCCAAGCCTCTTCTGCCTCTTGCCACGCCTCTTCTGCCTCTTGCCACGCCTTGTCTGCCTCTTGCCAAGCCTCTTCTGCCTCTTGCCACGCCTCTTCTGCCTCTTGCCACGCCTTGTCTGCCTCTTGCCAAGCCTCTTCTGCCTCTTGCCACGCCTCTTCTGCCTCTTGCCACGCCTTGTCTGCCTCTTGCCAAGCCTCTTCTGCCTCTTGCCACGCCTCTTCTGCCTCTTGCCACGCCTTGTCTGCCTCTTGCCAAGCCTCTTCTGCCTCTTGCCACGCCTCTTCTGCCTCTTGCCACGCCTTGTCTGCCTCTTGCCAAGCCTCTTCTGCCTCTTGCCACGCCTCTTCTGCCTCTTGCCACGCCTTGTCTGCCTCTTGCCAAGCCTCTTCTGCCTCTTGCCACGCCTCTTCTGCCTCTTGCCACGCCTTGTCTGCCTCTTGCCAAGCCTCTTCTGCCTCTTGCCACGCCTCTTCTGCCTCTTGCCAAGCCTCTTCTGCCTCTTGCCACGCCTCTTCTGCCTCTTGCCAAGCCTCTTCTGCCTCTTGCCACGCCTCTTCTGCCTCTTGCCACGCCTCTTCTGCCTCTTGCCACGCCTTGTCTGCCTCTTGCCAAGCCTCTTCTGCCTCTTGCCACGCCTCTTCTGCCTCTTGCCACGCCTTGTCTGCCTCTTGCCAAGCCTCTTCTGCCTCTTGCCACGCCTCTTCTGCCTCTTGCCACGCCTTGTCTGCCTCTTGCCAAGCCTCTTCTGCCTCTTGCCACGCCTCTTCTGCCTCTTGCCACGCCTTGTCTGCCTCTTGCCAAGCCTCTTCTGCCTCTTGCCACGCCTTGTCTGCCTCTTGCCAAGCCTCTTCTGCCTCTTGCCACGCCTCTTCTGCCTCTTGCCACGCCTTGTCTGCCTCTTGCCAAGCCTCTTCTGCCTCTTGCCACGCCTCTTCTGCCTCTTGCCACGCCTTGTCTGCCTCTTGCCAAGCCTCTTCTGCCTCTTGCCACGCCTTGTCTGCCTCTTGCCAAGCCTCTTCTGCCTCTTGCCACGCCTCTTCTGCCTCTTGCCACGCCTTGTCTGCCTCTTGCCAAGCCTCTTCTGCCTCTTGCCACGCCTCTTCTGCCTCTTGCCACGCCTTGTCTGCCTCTTGCCAAGCCTCTTCTGCCTCTTGCCACGCCTCTTCTGCCTCTTGCCAAGCCTCTTCTGCCTCTTGCCACGCCTCTTCTGCCTCTTGCCAAGCCTCTTCTGCCTCTTGCCACGCCTCTTCTGCCTCTTGCCACGCCTCTTCTGCCTCTTGCCACGCCTTGTCTGCCTCTTGCCAAGCCTCTTCTGCCTCTTGCCACGCCTCTTCTGCCTCTTGCCACGCCTTGTCTGCCTCTTGCCAAGCCTCTTCTGCCTCTTGCCACGCCTCTTCTGCCTCTTGCCACGCCTTGTCTGCCTCTTGCCAAGCCTCTTCTGCCTCTTTCCACGCCTTGTCTGCCTCTTGCCAAGCCTCTTCTGCCTCTTGCCACGCCTCTTCTGCCTCTTGCCACGCCTTGTCTGCCTCTTGCCAAGCCTCTTCTGCCTCTTGCCACGCCTCTTCTGCCTCTTGCCAAGCCTCTTCTGCCTCTTGCCACGCCTCTTCTGCCTCTTGCCAAGCCTCTTCTGCCTCTTGCCACGCCTCTTCTGCCTCTTGCCACGCCTCTTCTGCCTCTTGCCACGCCTCTTCTGCCTCTTGCCACGCCTCTTCTGCCTCTTGCCACGCCTTGTCTGCCTCTTGCCAAGCCTCTTCTGCCTCTTGCCACGCCTTGTCTGCCTCTTGCCAAGCCTCTTCTGCCTCTTGCCACGCCTCTTCTGCCTCTTGCCACGCCTTGTCTGCCTCTTGCCAAGCCTCTTCTGCCTCTTGCCACGCCTCTTCTGCCTCTTGCCACGCCTTGTCTGCCTCTTGCCAAGCCTCTTCTGCCTCTTGCCACGCCTCTTCTGCCTCTTGCCAAGCCTCTTCTGCCTCTTGCCACGCCTCTTCTGCCTCTTGCCAAGCCTCTTCTGCCTCTTGCCACGCCTCTTCTGCCTCTTGCCACGCCTCTTCTGCCTCTTGCCACGCCTTGTCTGCCTCTTGCCAAGCCTCTTCTGCCTCTTGCCACGCCTCTTCTGCCTCTTGCCACGCCTTGTCTGCCTCTTGCCAAGCCTCTTCTGCCTCTTGCCACGCCTCTTCTGCCTCTTGCCACGCCTTGTCTGCCTCTTGCCAAGCCTCTTCTGCCTCTTGCCACGCCTCTTCTGCCTCTTGCCACGCCTTTTCTGCCTCTTGCCAAGCCTCTTCTGCCTCTTGCCACGCCTCTTCTGCCTCTTGCCACGCCTTGTCTGCCTCTTGCCAAGCCTCTTCTGCCTCTTGCCACGCCTCTTCTGCCTCTTGCCACGCCTTGTCTGCCTCTTGCCAAGCCTCTTCTGCCTCTTGCCACGCCTCTTCTGCCTCTTGCCACGCCTTGTCTGCCTCTTGCCAAGCCTCTTCTGCCTCTTGCCACGCCTCTTCTGCCTCTTGCCACGCCTTGTCTGCCTCTTGCCACGCCTCTTCTGCCTCTTGCCACGCCTCTTCTGCCTCTTGCCACGCCTTGTCTGCCTCTTGCCAAGCCTCTTCTGCCTCTTGCCACGCCTCTTCTGCCTCTTGCCACGCCTTGTCTGCCTCTTGCCAAGCCTCTTCTGCCTCTTGCCACGCCTCTTCTGCCTCTTGCCAAGCCTCTTCTGCCTCTTGCCACGCCTCTTCTGCCTCTTGCCAAGCCTCTTCTGCCTCTTGCCACGCCTCTTCTGCCTCTTGCCACGCCTCTTCTGCCTCTTGCCACGCCTTGTCTGCCTCTTGCCAAGCCTCTTCTGCCTCTTGCCACGCCTCTTCTGCCTCTTGCCACGCCTTGTCTGCCTCTTGCCAAGCCTCTTCTGCCTCTTGCCACGCCTCTTCTGCCTCTTGCCACGCCTTGTCTGCCTCTTGCCAAGCCTCTTCTGCCTCTTGCCACGCCTCTTCTGCCTCTTGCCACGCCTTGTCTGCCTCTTGCCAAGCCTCTTCTGCCTCTTGCCACGCCTTGTCTGCCTCTTGCCAAGCCTCTTCTGCCTCTTGCCACGCCTCTTCTGCCTCTTGCCACGCCTTGTCTGCCTCTTGCCAAGCCTCTTCTGCCTCTTGCCACGCCTCTTCTGCCTCTTGCCACGCCTTGTCTGCCTCTTGCCAAGCCTCTTCTGCCTCTTGCCACGCCTCTTCTGCCTCTTGCCACGCCTTGTCTGCCTCTTGCCAAGCCTCTTCTGCCTCTTGCCACGCCTCTTCTGCCTCTTGCCACGCCTCTTCTGCCTCTTGCCAAGCCTCTTCTGCCTCTTGCCACGCCTCTTCTGCCTCTTGCCAAGCCTCTTCTGCCTCTTGCCAAGCCTCTTCTGCCTCTTGCCACGCCTCTTCTGCCTCTTGCCAAGCCTCTTCTGCCTCTTGCCACGCCTCTTCTGCCTCTTGCCAAGCCTCTTCTGCCTCTTGCCACGCCTCTTCTGCCTCTTGCCACGCCTCTTCTGCCTCTTGCCACGCCTTGTCTGCCTCTTGCCAAGCCTCTTCTGCCTCTTGCCACGCCTCTTCTGCCTCTTGCCACGCCTTGTCTGCCTCTTGCCAAGCCTCTTCTGCCTCTTGCCACGCCTCTTCTGCCTCTTGCCACGCCTTGTCTGCCTCTTGCCAAGCCTCTTCTGCCTCTTGCCACGCCTCTTCTGCCTCTTGCCACGCCTTGTCTGCCTCTTGCCAAGCCTCTTCTGCCTCTTGCCACGCCTTGTCTGCCTCTTGCCAAGCCTCTTCTGCCTCTTGCCACGCCTCTTCTGCCTCTTGCCACGCCTTGTCTGCCTCTTGCCAAGCCTCTTCTGCCTCTTGCCACGCCTCTTCTGCCTCTTGCCACGCCTTGTCTGCCTCTTGCCAAGCCTCTTCTGCCTCTTGCCACGCCTTGTCTGCCTCTTGCCAAGCCTCTTCTGCCTCTTGCCACGCCTCTTCTGCCTCTTGCCACGCCTTGTCTGCCTCTTGCCAAGCCTCTTCTGCCTCTTGCCACGCCTCTTCTGCCTCTTGCCACGCCTTGTCTGCCTCTTGCCAAGCCTCTTCTGCCTCTTGCCACGCCTCTTCTGCCTCTTGCCAAGCCTCTTCTGCCTCTTGCCACGCCTCTTCTGCCTCTTGCCAAGCCTCTTCTGCCTCTTGCCACGCCTCTTCTGCCTCTTGCCACGCCTCTTCTGCCTCTTGCCACGCCTCTTCTGCCTCTTGCCACGCCTCTTCTGCCTCTTGCCACGCCTTGTCTGCCTCTTGCCAAGCCTCTTCTGCCTCTTGCCACGCCTCTTCTGCCTCTTGCCAAGCCTCTTCTGCCTCTTGCCACGCCTCTTCTGCCTCTTGCCAAGCCTCTTCTGCCTCTTGCCAAGCCTCTTCTGCCTCTTGCCACGCCTCTTCTGCCTCTTGCCAAGCCTCTTCTGCCTCTTGCCACGCCTCTTCTGCCTCTTGCCACGCCTCTTCTGCCTCTTGCCACGCCTCTTCTGCCTCTTGCCACGCCTCTTCTGCCTCTTGCCAAGCCTCTTCTGCCTCTTGCCACGCCTCTTCTGCCTCTTGCCAAGCCTCTTCTGCCTCTTGCCACGCCTCTTCTGCCTCTTGCCACGCCTTGTCTGCCTCTTGCCAAGCCTCTTCTGCCTCTTGCCACGCCTTGTCTGCCTCTTGCCAAGCCTCTTCTGCCTCTTGCCACGCCTCTTCTGCCTCTTGCCACGCCTTGTCTGCCTCTTGCCAAGCCTCTTCTGCCTCTTGCCAAGCCTCTTCTGCCTCTTGCCAAGCCTCTTCTGCCTCTTGCCACGCCTTGTCTGCCTCTTGCCAAGCCTCTTCTGCCTCTTGCCAAGCCTCTTCTGCCTCTTGCCAAGCCTCTTCTGCCTCTTGCCACGCCTCTTCTGCCTCTTGCCAAGCCTCTTCTGCCTCTTGCCAAGCCTCTTCTGCCTCTTGCCACGCCTCTTCTGCCTCTTGCCAAGCCTCTTCTGCCTCTTGCCACGCCTCTTCTGCCTCTTGCCACGCCTCTTCTGCCTCTTGCCAAGCCTCTTCTGCCTCTTGCCACGCCTCTTCTGCCTCTTGCCAAGCCTCTTCTGCCTCTTGCCACGCCTCTTCTGCCTCTTGCCACGCCTCTTCTGCCTCTTGCCACGCCTCTTCTGCCTCTTGCCACGCCTCTTCTGCCTCTTGCCACGCCTCTTCTGCCTCTTGCCAAGCCTCTTCTGCCTCTTGCCACGCCTCTTCTGCCTCTTGCCAAGCCTCTTCTGCCTCTTGCCACGCCTCTTCTGCCTCTTGCCACGCCTTGTCTGCCTCTTGCCAAGCCTCTTCTGCCTCTTGCCACGCCTTGTCTGCCTCTTGCCAAGCCTCTTCTGCCTCTTGCCACGCCTCTTCTGCCTCTTGCCACGCCTTGTCTGCCTCTTGCCAAGCCTCTTCTGCCTCTTGCCAAGCCTCTTCTGCCTCTTGCCAAGCCTCTTCTGCCTCTTGCCACGCCTTGTCTGCCTCTTGCCAAGCCTCTTCTGCCTCTTGCCAAGCCTCTTCTGCCTCTTGCCAAGCCTCTTCTGCCTCTTGCCACGCCTCTTCTGCCTCTTGCCAAGCCTCTTCTGCCTCTTGCCAAGCCTCTTCTGCCTCTTGCCACGCCTCTTCTGCCTCTTGCCAAGCCTCTTCTGCCTCTTGCCACGCCTCTTCTGCCTCTTGCCACGCCTCTTCTGCCTCTTGCCACGCCTCTTCTGCCTCTTGCCACGCCTCTTCTGCCTCTTGCCAAGCCTCTTCTGCCTCTTGCCACGCCTCTTCTGCCTCTTGCCACGCCTCTTCTGCCTCTTGCCACGCCTCTTCTGCCTCTTGCCAAGCCTCTTCTGCCTCTTGCCACGCCTCTTCTGCCTCTTGCCACGCCTCTTCTGCCTCTTGCCAAGCCTCTTCTGCCTCTTGCCACGCCTCTTCTGCCTCTTGCCAAGCCTCTTCTGCCTCTTGCCACGCCTCTTCTGCCTCTTGCCACGCCTCTTCTGCCTCTTGCCACGCCTCTTCTGCCTCTTGCCACGCCTCTTCTGCCTCTTGCCACGCCTCTTCTGCCTCTTGCCAAGCCTCTTCTGCCTCTTGCCACGCCTCTTCTGCCTCTTGCCACGCCTCTTCTGCCTCTTGCCAAGCCTCTTCTGCCTCTTGCCACGCCTCTTCTGCCTCTTGCCAAGCCTCTTCTGCCTCTTGCCACGCCTCTTCTGCCTCTTGCCACGCCTCTTCTGCCTCTTGCCACGCCTCTTCTGCCTCTTGCCACGCCTCTTCTGCCTCTTGCCACGCCTCTTCTGCCTCTTGCCACGCCTTGTCTGCCTCTTGCCAAGCCTCTTCTGCCTCTTGCCAAGCCTCTTCTGCCTCTTGCCAAGCCTCTTCTGCCTCTTGCCACGCCTTGTCTGCCTCTTGCCAAGCCTCTTCTGCCTCTTGCCAAGCCTCTTCTGCCTCTTGCCAAGCCTCTTCTGCCTCTTGCCACGCCTCTTCTGCCTCTTGCCAAGCCTCTTCTGCCTCTTGCCACGCCTCTTCTGCCTCTTGCCACGCCTTGTCTGCCTCTTGCCAAGCCTCTTCTGCCTCTTGCCACGCCTTGTCTGCCTCTTGCCAAGCCTCTTCTGCCTCTTGCCACGCCTCTTCTGCCTCTTGCCACGCCTTGTCTGCCTCTTGCCAAGCCTCTTCTGCCTCTTGCCAAGCCTCTTCTGCCTCTTGCCAAGCCTCTTCTGCCTCTTGCCACGCCTTGTCTGCCTCTTGCCAAGCCTCTTCTGCCTCTTGCCAAGCCTCTTCTGCCTCTTGCCAAGCCTCTTCTGCCTCTTGCCACGCCTCTTCTGCCTCTTGCCAAGCCTCTTCTGCCTCTTGCCAAGCCTCTTCTGCCTCTTGCCACGCCTCTTCTGCCTCTTGCCAAGCCTCTTCTGCCTCTTGCCACGCCTCTTCTGCCTCTTGCCACGCCTCTTCTGCCTCTTGCCACGCCTCTTCTGCCTCTTGCCACGCCTCTTCTGCCTCTTGCCAAGCCTCTTCTGCCTCTTGCCACGCCTCTTCTGCCTCTTGCCACGCCTCTTCTGCCTCTTGCCACGCCTCTTCTGCCTCTTGCCAAGCCTCTTCTGCCTCTTGCCACGCCTCTTCTGCCTCTTGCCACGCCTCTTCTGCCTCTTGCCAAGCCTCTTCTGCCTCTTGCCACGCCTCTTCTGCCTCTTGCCAAGCCTCTTCTGCCTCTTGCCACGCCTCTTCTGCCTCTTGCCACGCCTCTTCTGCCTCTTGCCACGCCTCTTCTGCCTCTTGCCACGCCTCTTCTGCCTCTTGCCACGCCTCTTCTGCCTCTTGCCAAGCCTCTTCTGCCTCTTGCCACGCCTCTTCTGCCTCTTGCCACGCCTCTTCTGCCTCTTGCCAAGCCTCTTCTGCCTCTTGCCACGCCTCTTCTGCCTCTTGCCAAGCCTCTTCTGCCTCTTGCCACGCCTCTTCTGCCTCTTGCCACGCCTCTTCTGCCTCTTGCCACGCCTCTTCTGCCTCTTGCCACGCCTCTTCTGCCTCTTGCCACGCCTCTTCTGCCTCTTGCCACGCCTTGTCTGCCTCTTGCCAAGCCTCTTCTGCCTCTTGCCAAGCCTCTTCTGCCTCTTGCCAAGCCTCTTCTGCCTCTTGCCACGCCTTGTCTGCCTCTTGCCAAGCCTCTTCTGCCTCTTGCCAAGCCTCTTCTGCCTCTTGCCAAGCCTCTTCTGCCTCTTGCCACGCCTCTTCTGCCTCTTGCCAAGCCTCTTCTGCCTCTTGCCAAGCCTCTTCTGCCTCTTGCCACGCCTCTTCTGCCTCTTGCCAAGCCTCTTCTGCCTCTTGCCACGCCTCTTCTGCCTCTTGCCACGCCTCTTCTGCCTCTTGCCAGGCCTCTTCTGCCTCTTGCCACGCCTCTTCTGCCTCTTGCCAAGCCTCTTCTGCCTCTTGCCACGCCTCTTCTGCCTCTTGCCACGCCTCTTCTGCCTCTTGCCACGCCTCTTCTGCCTCTTGCCACGCCTCTTCTGCCTCTTGCCACGCCTCTTCTGCCTCTTGCCAAGCCTCTTCTGCCTCTTGCCACGCCTCTTCTGCCTCTTGCCAAGCCTCTTCTGCCTCTTGCCACGCCTCTTCTGCCTCTTGCCACGCCTTGTCTGCCTCTTGCCAAGCCTCTTCTGCCTCTTGCCACGCCTTGTCTGCCTCTTGCCAAGCCTCTTCTGCCTCTTGCCACGCCTCTTCTGCCTCTTGCCACGCCTTGTCTGCCTCTTGCCAAGCCTCTTCTGCCTCTTGCCAAGCCTCTTCTGCCTCTTGCCAAGCCTCTTCTGCCTCTTGCCACGCCTTGTCTGCCTCTTGCCAAGCCTCTTCTGCCTCTTGCCAAGCCTCTTCTGCCTCTTGCCAAGCCTCTTCTGCCTCTTGCCACGCCTCTTCTGCCTCTTGCCAAGCCTCTTCTGCCTCTTGCCAAGCCTCTTCTGCCTCTTGCCACGCCTCTTCTGCCTCTTGCCAAGCCTCTTCTGCCTCTTGCCACGCCTCTTCTGCCTCTTGCCACGCCTCTTCTGCCTCTTGCCACGCCTCTTCTGCCTCTTGCCACGCCTCTTCTGCCTCTTGCCAAGCCTCTTCTGCCTCTTGCCACGCCTCTTCTGCCTCTTGCCACGCCTCTTCTGCCTCTTGCCACGCCTCTTCTGCCTCTTGCCAAGCCTCTTCTGCCTCTTGCCACGCCTCTTCTGCCTCTTGCCACGCCTCTTCTGCCTCTTGCCAAGCCTCTTCTGCCTCTTGCCACGCCTCTTCTGCCTCTTGCCAAGCCTCTTCTGCCTCTTGCCACGCCTCTTCTGCCTCTTGCCACGCCTCTTCTGCCTCTTGCCACGCCTCTTCTGCCTCTTGCCACGCCTCTTCTGCCTCTTGCCACGCCTCTTCTGCCTCTTGCCACGCCTCTTCTGCCTCTTGCCAAGCCTCTTCTGCCTCTTGCCACGCCTCTTCTGCCTCTTGCCACGCCTCTTCTGCCTCTTGCCAAGCCTCTTCTGCCTCTTGCCACGCCTCTTCTGCCTCTTGCCAAGCCTCTTCTGCCTCTTGCCACGCCTCTTCTGCCTCTTGCCACGCCTCTTCTGCCTCTTGCCACGCCTCTTCTGCCTCTTGCCACGCCTCTTCTGCCTCTTGCCACGCCTCTTCTGCCTCTTGCCACGCCTTGTCTGCCTCTTGCCAAGCCTCTTCTGCCTCTTGCCAAGCCTCTTCTGCCTCTTGCCAAGCCTCTTCTGCCTCTTGCCACGCCTTGTCTGCCTCTTGCCAAGCCTCTTCTGCCTCTTGCCAAGCCTCTTCTGCCTCTTGCCAAGCCTCTTCTGCCTCTTGCCACGCCTCTTCTGCCTCTTGCCAAGCCTCTTCTGCCTCTTGCCAAGCCTCTTCTGCCTCTTGCCACGCCTCTTCTGCCTCTTGCCAAGCCTCTTCTGCCTCTTGCCACGCCTCTTCTGCCTCTTGCCACGCCTCTTCTGCCTCTTGCCAAGCCTCTTCTGCCTCTTGCCACGCCTCTTCTGCCTCTTGCCAAGCCTCTTCTGCCTCTTGCCACGCCTCTTCTGCCTCTTGCCACGCCTCTTCTGCCTCTTGCCACGCCTCTTCTGCCTCTTGCCACGCCTCTTCTGCCTCTTGCCACGCCTCTTCTGCCTCTTGCCAAGCCTCTTCTGCCTCTTGCCACGCCTCTTCTGCCTCTTGCCAAGCCTCTTCTGCCTCTTGCCACGCCTCTTCTGCCTCTTGCCACGCCTTGTCTGCCTCTTGCCAAGCCTCTTCTGCCTCTTGCCACGCCTTGTCTGCCTCTTGCCAAGCCTCTTCTGCCTCTTGCCACGCCTCTTCTGCCTCTTGCCACGCCTTGTCTGCCTCTTGCCAAGCCTCTTCTGCCTCTTGCCAAGCCTCTTCTGCCTCTTGCCAAGCCTCTTCTGCCTCTTGCCACGCCTTGTCTGCCTCTTGCCAAGCCTCTTCTGCCTCTTGCCAAGCCTCTTCTGCCTCTTGCCAAGCCTCTTCTGCCTCTTGCCACGCCTCTTCTGCCTCTTGCCAAGCCTCTTCTGCCTCTTGCCAAGCCTCTTCTGCCTCTTGCCACGCCTCTTCTGCCTCTTGCCAAGCCTCTTCTGCCTCTTGCCACGCCTCTTCTGCCTCTTGCCACGCCTCTTCTGCCTCTTGCCACGCCTCTTCTGCCTCTTGCCACGCCTCTTCTGCCTCTTGCCAAGCCTCTTCTGCCTCTTGCCACGCCTCTTCTGCCTCTTGCCACGCCTCTTCTGCCTCTTGCCACGCCTCTTCTGCCTCTTGCCAAGCCTCTTCTGCCTCTTGCCACGCCTCTTCTGCCTCTTGCCACGCCTCTTCTGCCTCTTGCCAAGCCTCTTCTGCCTCTTGCCACGCCTCTTCTGCCTCTTGCCAAGCCTCTTCTGCCTCTTGCCAAGCCTCTTCTGCCTCTTGCCACGCCTCTTCTGCCTCTTGCCACGCCTCTTCTGCCTCTTGCCACGCCTCTTCTGCCTCTTGCCACGCCTCTTCTGCCTCTTGCCACGCCTCTTCTGCCTCTTGCCAAGCCTCTTCTGCCTCTTGCCACGCCTCTTCTGCCTCTTGCCACGCCTCTTCTGCCTCTTGCCAAGCCTCTTCTGCCTCTTGCCACGCCTCTTCTGCCTCTTGCCAAGCCTCTTCTGCCTCTTGCCACGCCTCTTCTGCCTCTTGCCACGCCTCTTCTGCCTCTTGCCACGCCTCTTCTGCCTCTTGCCACGCCTCTTCTGCCTCTTGCCACGCCTCTTCTGCCTCTTGCCACGCCTCTTCTGCCTCTTGCCACGCCTCTTCTGCCTCTTGCCACGCCTCTTCTGCCTCTTGCCACGCCTCTTCTGCCTCTTGCCACGCCTCTTCTGCCTCTTGCCACGCCTTGTCTGCCTCTTGCCAAGCCTCTTCTGCCTCTTGCCAAGCCTCTTCTGCCTCTTGCCACGCCTCTTCTGCCTCTTGCCAAGCCTCTTCTGCCTCTTGCCAAGCCTCTTCTGCCTCTTGCCACGCCTCTTCTGCCTCTTGCCACGCCTCTTCTGCCTCTTGCCACGCCTCTTCTGCCTCTTGCCAAGCCTCTTCTGCCTCTTGCCACGCCTCTTCTGCCTCTTGCCACGCCTCTTCTGCCTCTTGCCACGCCTTGTCTGCCTCTTGCCAAGCCTCTTCTGCCTCTTGCCACGCCTCTTCTGCCTCTTGCCACGCCTTGTCTGCCTCTTGCCAAGCCTCTTCTGCCTCTTGCCAAGCCTCTTCTGCCTCTTGCCAAGCCTCTTCTGCCTCTTGCCACGCCTTGTCTGCCTCTTGCCACGCCTCTTCTGCCTCTTGCCAAGCCTCTTCTGCCTCTTGCCAAGCCTCTTCTGCCTCTTGCCAAGCCTCTTCTGCCTCTTGCCAAGCCTCTTCTGCCTCTTGCCAAGCCTCTTCTGCCTCTTGCCACGCCTCTTCTGCCTCTTGCCACGCCTCTTCTGCCTCTTGCCACGCCTCTTCTGCCTCTTGCCACGCCTCTTCTGCCTCTTGCCAAGCCTCTTCTGCCTCTTGCCACGCCTCTTCTGCCTCTTGCCAAGCCTCTTCTGCCTCTTGCCACGCCTCTTCTGCCTCTTGCCACGCCTCTTCTGCCTCTTGCCACGCCTCTTCTGCCTCTTGCCACGCCTCTTCTGCCTCTTGCCACGCCTCTTCTGCCTCTTGCCACGCCTCTTCTGCCTCTTGCCAAGCCTCTTCTGCCTCTTGCCACGCCTCTTCTGCCTCTTGCCACGCCTCTTCTGCCTCTTGCCACGCCTCTTCTGCCTCTTGCCAAGCCTCTTCTGCCTCTTGCCAAGCCTCTTCTGCCTCTTGCCAAGCCTCTTCTGCCTCTTGCCACGCCTCTTCTGCCTCTTGCCACGCCTCTTCTGCCTCTTGCCACGCCTCTTCTGCCTCTTGCCACGCCTCTTCTGCCTCTTGCCACGCCTCTTCTGCCTCTTGCCAAGCCTCTTCTGCCTCTTGCCAAGCCTCTTCTGCCTCTTGCCAAGCCTCTTCTGCCTCTTGCCAAGCCTCTTCTGCCTCTTGCCACGCCTCTTCTGCCTCTTGCCACGCCTCTTCTGCCTCTTGCCACGCCTCTTCTGCCTCTTGCCAAGCCTCTTCTGCCTCTTGCCAAGCCTCTTCTGCCTCTTGCCAAGCCTCTTCTGCCTCTTGCCAAGCCTCTTCTGCCTCTTGCCACGCCTCTTCTGCCTCTTGCCACGCCTCTTCTGCCTCTTGCCACGCCTCTTCTGCCTCTTGCCAAGCCTCTTCTGCCTCTTGCCAAGCCTCTTCTGCCTCTTGCCAAGCCTCTTCTGCCTCTTGCCAAGCCTCTTCTGCCTCTTGCCACGCCTCTTCTGCCTCTTGCCACGCCTCTTCTGCCTCTTGCCACGCCTCTTCTGCCTCTTGCCACGCCTCTTCTGCCTCTTGCCACGCCTCTTCTGCCTCTTGCCACGCCTCTTCTGCCTCTTGCCACGCCTCTTCTGCCTCTTGCCACGCCTCTTCTGCCTCTTGCCAAGCCTCTTCTGCCTCTTGCCACGCCTCTTCTGCCTCTTGCCAAGCCTCTTCTGCCTCTTGCCAAGCCTCTTCTGCCTCTTGCCAAGCCTCTTCTGCCTCTTGCCACGCCTCTTCTGCCTCTTGCCAAGCCTCTTCTGCCTCTTGCCAAGCCTCTTCTGCCTCTTGCCAAGCCTCTTCTGCCTCTTGCCACGCCTCTTCTGCTCTTGCCACGCCTCTTCTGCCTCTTGCCACGCCTCTTCTGCCTCTTGCCACGCCTCTTCTGCCTCTTGCCACGCCTCTTCTGCCTCTTGCCACGCCTCTTCTGCCTCTTGCCACGCCTCTTCTGCCTCTTGCCACGCCTCTTCTGCCTCTTGCCACGCCTTGTCTGCCTCTTGCCAAGCCTCTTCTGCCTCTTGCCACGCCTCTTCTGCCTCTTGCCACGCCTTGTCTGCCTCTTGCCAAGCCTCTTCTGCCTCTTGCCAAGCCTCTTCTGCCTCTTGCCAAGCCTCTTCTGCCTCTTGCCACGCCTTGTCTGCCTCTTGCCACGCCTCTTCTGCCTCTTGCCAAGCCTCTTCTGCCTCTTGCCAAGCCTCTTCTGCCTCTTGCCAAGCCTCTTCTGCCTCTTGCCACGCCTCTTCTGCCTCTTGCCACGCCTCTTCTGCCTCTTGCCACGCCTCTTCTGCCTCTTGCCACGCCTCTTCTGCCTCTTGCCAAGCCTCTTCTGCCTCTTGCCACGCCTCTTCTGCCTCTTGCCAAGCCTCTTCTGCCTCTTGCCACGCCTCTTCTGCCTCTTGCCACGCCTCTTCTGCCTCTTGCCACGCCTCTTCTGCCTCTTGCCACGCCTCTTCTGCCTCTTGCCACGCCTCTTCTGCCTCTTGCCACGCCTCTTCTGCCTCTTGCCAAGCCTCTTCTGCCTCTTGCCACGCCTCTTCTGCCTCTTGCCACGCCTCTTCTGCCTCTTGCCACGCCTCTTCTGCCTCTTGCCAAGCCTCTTCTGCCTCTTGCCAAGCCTCTTCTGCCTCTTGCCAAGCCTCTTCTGCCTCTTGCCACGCCTCTTCTGCCTCTTGCCACGCCTCTTCTGCCTCTTGCCACGCCTCTTCTGCCTCTTGCCACGCCTCTTCTGCCTCTTGCCACGCCTCTTCTGCCTCTTGCCAAGCCTCTTCTGCCTCTTGCCAAGCCTCTTCTGCCTCTTGCCAAGCCTCTTCTGCCTCTTGCCAAGCCTCTTCTGCCTCTTGCCACGCCTCTTCTGCCTCTTGCCACGCCTCTTCTGCCTCTTGCCACGCCTCTTCTGCCTCTTGCCAAGCCTCTTCTGCCTCTTGCCAAGCCTCTTCTGCCTCTTGCCAAGCCTCTTCTGCCTCTTGCCAAGCCTCTTCTGCCTCTTGCCACGCCTCTTCTGCCTCTTGCCACGCCTCTTCTGCCTCTTGCCACGCCTCTTCTGCCTCTTGCCAAGCCTCTTCTGCCTCTTGCCAAGCCTCTTCTGCCTCTTGCCAAGCCTCTTCTGCCTCTTGCCAAGCCTCTTCTGCCTCTTGCCAAGCCTCTTCTGCCTCTTGCCACGCCTCTTCTGCCTCTTGCCACGCCTCTTCTGCCTCTTGCCACGCCTCTTCTGCCTCTTGCCAAGCCTCTTCTGCCTCTTGCCACGCCTCTTCTGCCTCTTGCCACGCCTCTTCTGCCTCTTGCCACGCCTCTTCTGCCTCTTGCCACGCCTCTTCTGCCTCTTGCCAAGCCTCTTCTGCCTCTTGCCACGCCTCTTCTGCCTCTTGCCAAGCCTCTTCTGCCTCTTGCCAAGCCTCTTCTGCCTCTTGCCAAGCCTCTTCTGCCTCTTGCCACGCCTCTTCTGCCTCTTGCCAAGCCTCTTCTGCCTCTTGCCAAGCCTCTTCTGCCTCTTGCCAAGCCTCTTCTGCCTCTTGCCACGCCTCTTCTGCCTCTTGCCACGCCTCTTCTGCCTCTTGCCAAGCCTCTTCTGCCTCTTGCCACGCCTCTTCTGCCTCTTGCCACGCCTCTTCTGCCTCTTGCCACGCCTCTTCTGCCTCTTGCCAAGCCTCTTCTGCCTCTTGCCAAGCCTCTTCTGCCTCTTGCCAAGCCTCTTCTGCCTCTTGCCAAGCCTCTTCTGCCTCTTGCCACGCCTCTTCTGCCTCTTGCCACGCCTCTTCTGCCTCTTGCCACGCCTCTTCTGCCTCTTGCCACGCCTCTTCTGCCTCTTGCCACGCCTCTTCTGCCTCTTGCCACGCCTCTTCTGCCTCTTGCCACGCCTCTTCTGCCTCTTGCCACGCCTCTTCTGCCTCTTGCCAAGCCTCTTCTGCCTCTTGCCACGCCTCTTCTGCCTCTTGCCACGCCTCTTCTGCCTCTTGCCACGCCTCTTCTGCCTCTTGCCAAGCCTCTTCTGCCTCTTGCCAAGCCTCTTCTGCCTCTTGCCAAGCCTCTTCTGCCTCTTGCCACGCCTCTTCTGCCTCTTGCCACGCCTCTTCTGCCTCTTGCCACGCCTCTTCTGCCTCTTGCCAAGCCTCTTCTGCCTCTTGCCAAGCCTCTTCTGCCTCTTGCCAAGCCTCTTCTGCCTCTTGCCACGCCTCTTCTGCCTCTTGCCACGCCTCTTCTGCCTCTTGCCACGCCTCTTCTGCCTCTTGCCACGCCTCTTCTGCCTCTTGCCACGCTCTTCTGCCTCTTGCCAAGCCTCTTCTGCCTCTTGCCAAGCCTCTTCTGCCTCTTGCCAAGCCTCTTCTGCCTCTTGCCACGCCTCTTCTGCCTCTTGCCACGCCTCTTCTGCCTCTTGCCACGCCTCTTCTGCCTCTTGCCACGCCTCTTCTGCCTCTTGCCAAGCCTCTTCTGCCTCTTGCCAAGCCTCTTCTGCCTCTTGCCAAGCCTCTTCTGCCTCTTGCCAAGCCTCTTCTGCCTCTTGCCACGCCTCTTCTGCCTCTTGCCACGCCTCTTCTGCCTCTTGCCACGCCTCTTCTGCCTCTTGCCAAGCCTCTTCTGCCTCTTGCCACGCCTCTTCTGCCTCTTGCCACGCCTCTTCTGCCTCTTGCCAAGCCTCTTCTGCCTCTTGCCACGCCTCTTCTGCCTCTTGCCACGCCTCTTCTGCCTCTTGCCACGCCTCTTCTGCCTCTTGCCACGCCTCTTCTGCCTCTTGCCACGCCTCTTCTGCCTCTTGCCACGCCTCTTCTGCCTCTTGCCACGCCTCTTCTGCCTCTTGCCACGCCTCTTCTGCCTCTTGCCACGCCTCTTCTGCCTCTTGCCACGCCTCTTCTGCCTCTTGCCACGCCTCTTCTGCCTCTTGCCACGCCTCTTCTGCCTCTTGCCACGCCTCTTCTGCCTCTTGCCACGCCTCTTCTGCCTCTTGCCACGCCTCTTCTGCCTCTTGCCACGCCTCTTCTGCCTCTTGCCACGCCTCTTCTGCCTCTTGCCACGCCTCTTCTGCCTCTTGCCACGCCTCTTCTGCCTCTTGCCACGCCTCTTCTGCCTCTTGCCACGCCTCTTCTGCCTCTTGCCACGCCTCTTCTGCCTCTTGCCACGCCTCTTCTGCCTCTTGCCACGCCTCTTCTGCCTCTTGCCACGCCTCTTCTGCCTCTTGCCACGCCTCTTCTGCCTCTTGCCACGCCTCTTCTGCCTCTTGCCACGCCTCTTCTGCCTCTTGCCACGCCTCTTCTGCCTCTTGCCACGCCTCTTCTGCCTCTTGCCACGCCTCTTCTGCCTCTTGCCAAGCCTCTTCTGCCTCTTGCCAAGCCTCTTCTGCCTCTTGCCAAGCCTCTTCTGCCTCTTGCCACGCCTCTTCTGCCTCTTGCCACGCCTCTTCTGCCTCTTGCCACGCCTCTTCTGCCTCTTGCCACGCCTCTTCTGCCTCTTGCCAAGCCTCTTCTGCCTCTTGCCACGCCTCTTCTGCCTCTTGCCAAGCCTCTTCTGCCTCTTGCCACGCCTCTTCTGCCTCTTGCCAAGCCTCTTCTGCCTCTTGCCACGCCTCTTCTGCCTCTTGCCAAGCCTCTTCTGCCTCTTGCCACGCCTCTTCTGCCTCTTGCCAAGCCTCTTCTGCCTCTTGCCAAGCCTCTTCTGCCTCTTGCCACGCCTCTTCTGCCTCTTGCCACGCCTCTTCTGCCTCTTGCCACGCCTCTTCTGCCTCTTGCCAAGCCTCTTCTGCCTCTTGCCAAGCCTCTTCTGCCTCTTGCCAAGCCTCTTCTGCCTCTTGCCACGCCTCTTCTGCCTCTTGCCACGCCTCTTCTGCCTCTTGCCACGCCTCTTCTGCCTCTTGCCACGCCTCTTCTGCCTCTTGCCACGCCTCTTCTGCCTCTTGCCACGCCTCTTCTGCCTCTTGCCAAGCCTCTTCTGCCTCTTGCCACGCCTCTTCTGCCTCTTGCCACGCCTCTTCTGCCTCTTGCCACGCCTCTTCTGCCTCTTGCCACGCCTCTTCTGCCTCTTGCCACGCCTCTTCTGCCTCTTGCCAAGCCTCTTCTGCCTCTTGCCACGCCTCTTCTGCCTCTTGCCACGCCTCTTCTGCCTCTTGCCAAGCCTCTTCTGCCTCTTGCCACGCCTCTTCTGCCTCTTGCCACGCCTCTTCTGCCTCTTGCCACGCCTCTTCTGCCTCTTGCCACGCCTCTTCTGCCTCTTGCCACGCCTCTTCTGCCTCTTGCCACGCCTCTTCTGCCTCTTGCCACGCCTCTTCTGCCTCTTGCCACGCCTCTTCTGCCTCTTGCCACGCCTCTTCTGCCTCTTGCCACGCCTCTTCTGCCTCTTGCCACGCCTCTTCTGCCTCTTGCCACGCCTCTTCTGCCTCTTGCCACGCCTCTTCTGCCTCTTGCCACGCCTCTTCTGCCTCTTGCCACGCCTCTTCTGCCTCTGCCACGCCTCTTCTGCCTCTTGCCACGCCTCTTCTGCCTCTTGCCACGCCTCTTCTGCCTCTTGCCACGCCTCTTCTGCCTCTTGCCACGCCTCTTCTGCCTCTTGCCACGCCTCTTCTGCCTCTTGCCACGCCTCTTCTGCCTCTTGCCACGCCTCTTCTGCCTCTTGCCACGCCTCTTCTGCCTCTTGCCACGCCTCTTCTGCCTCTTGCCACGCCTCTTCTGCCTCTTGCCACGCCTCTTCTGCCTCTTGCCACGCCTCTTCTGCCTCTTGCCACGCCTCTTCTGCCTCTTGCCACGCCTCTTCTGCCTCTTGCCACGCCTCTTCTGCCTCTTGCCACGCCTCTTCTGCCTCTTGCCACGCCTCTTCTGCCTCTTGCCACGCCTCTTCTGCCTCTTGCCACGCCTCTTCTGCCTCTTGCCACGCCTCTTCTGCCTCTTGCCACGCCTCTTCTGCTCTTGCCACGCCTCTTCTGCCTCTTGCCACGCCTCTTCTGCCTCTTGCCACGCCTCTTCTGCCTCTTGCCACGCCTCTTCTGCCTCTTGCCACGCCTCTTCTGCCTCTTGCCACGCCTCTTCTGCCTCTTGCCACGCCTCTTCTGCCTCTTGCCACGCCTCTTCTGCCTCTTGCCACGCCTCTTCTGCCTCTTGCCACGCCTCTTCTGCCTCTTGCCACGCCTCTTCTGCCTCTTGCCACGCCTCTTCTGCCTCTTGCCACGCCTCTTCTGCCTCTTGCCACGCCTCTTCTGCCTCTTGCCACGCCTCTTCTGCTCTTGCCAAGCCTCTTCTGCCTCTTGCCACGCCTCTTCTGCCTCTTGCCACGCCTCTTCTGCCTCTTGCCACGCCTCTTCTGCCTCTTGCCACGCCTCTTCTGCCTCTTGCCACGCCTCTTCTGCCTCTTGCCACGCCTCTTCTGCCTCTTGCCACGCCTCTTCTGCCTCTTGCCACGCCTCTTCTGCCTCTTGCCACGCCCTCTTCTGCCTCTTGCCACGCCTCTTCTGCCTCTTGCCACGCCTCTTCTGCCTCTTGCCACGCCTCTTCTGCCTCTTGCCAAGCCTCTTCTGCCTCTTGCCACGCCTCTTCTGCCTCTTGCCACGCCTCTTCTGCCTCTTGCCACGCCTCTTCTGCCTCTTGCCACGCCTCTTCTGCCTCTTGCCACGCCTCTTCTGCCTCTTGCCACGCCTCTTCTGCCTCTTGCCAAGCCTCTTCTGCCTCTTGCCACGCCTCTTCTGCCTCTTGCCACGCCTCTTCTGCCTCTTGCCACGCCTCTTCTGCCTCTTGCCACGCCTCTTCTGCTCTTGCCACGCCTCTTCTGCCTCTTGCCACGCCTCTTCTGCCTCTTGCCACGCCTCTTCTGCCTCTTGCCACGCCTCTTCTGCCTCTTGCCACGCCTCTTCCTGCCTCTTGCCACGCCTCTTCTGCCTCTTGCCACGCCTCTTCTGCCTCTTGCCACGCCTCTTCTGCTCTTGCCAAGCCTCTCTGCCTCTTGCACGCCTCTTCTGCCTCTTGCCACGCCTCTTCTGCCTCTTGCCACGCCTCTTCTGCCTCTTGCCACGCCTCTTCTGCCTCTTGCCACGGCCTCTTCTGCCTCTTGCCACGCCTCTTCTGCCTCTTGCCACGCCTCTTCTGCCTCTTGCCACGCCTCTTCTGCCTCTTGCCACGCCTCTTCTGCCTCTTGCCAAGCCTCTTCTGCCTCTTGCCACGCCTCTTCTGCCTCTTGCCACGCCTCTTCTGCCTCTTGCCACGCCTCTTCTGCCTCTTGCCACGCCTCTTCTGCCTCTTGCCACGCCTCTTCTGCCTCTTGCCACGCCTCTTCTGCCTCTTGCCACGCCTCTTCTGCCTCTTGCCACGCCTCTTCTGCCTCTTGCCACGCCTCTTCTGCCTCTTGCCACGCCTCTTCTGCCTCTTGCCACGCCTCTTCTGCCTCTTGCCACGCCTCTTCTGCCTCTTGCCACGCCTCTTCTGCCTCTTGCCACGCCTCTTCTGCCTCTTGCCACGCCTCTTCTGCCTCTTGCCACGCCTCTTCTGCCTCTTGCCACGCCTCTTCTGCCTCTTGCCACGCCTCTTCTGCCTCTTGCCACGCCTCTTCTGCCTCTTGCCACGCCTCTTCTGCCTCTTGCCACGCCTCTTCTGCCTCTTGCCACGCCTCTTCTGCCTCTTGCCAAGCCTCTTCTGCCTCTTGCCACGCCTCTTCTGCCTCTTGCCACGCCTCTTCTGCCTCTTGCCACGCCTCTTCTGCCTCTTGCCACGCCTCTTCTGCCTCTTGCCACGCCTCTTCTGCCTCTTGCCACGCCTCTTCTGCCTCTTGCCACGCCTCTTCTGCCTCTTGCCACGCCTCTTCTGCCTCTTGCCACGCCTCTTCTGCCTCTTGCCACGCCTCTTCTGCCTCTTGCCACGCCTCTTCTGCTCTTGCCAAGCCTCTTCTGCCTCTTGCCACGCCTCTTCTGCCTCTTGCCACGCCTCTTCTGCCTCTTGCCACGCCTCTTCTGCCTCTTGCCACGCCTCTTCTGCCTCTTGCCACGCCTCTTCTGCCTCTTGCCACGCCTCTTCTGCCTCTTGCCACGCCTCTTCTGCCTCTTGCCACGCCTCTTCTGCCTCTTGCCAAGCCTCTTCTGCCTCTTGCCACGCCTCTTCTGCCTCTTGCCACGCCTCTTCTGCTCTTGCCACGCCTCTTCTGCCTCTTGCCACGCCTCTTCTGCCTCTTGGCCACGCCTCTTCTGCCTCTTGCCAAGCCTCTTTCTGCCTCTTGCCACGCCTCTTCTGCCTCTTGCCACGCCTCTTCTGCCTCTTGCCACGCCTCTTCTGCCTCTTGCCACGCCTCTTCTGCCTCTTGCCACGCCTCTTCTGCCTCTTGCCACGCTCTTCTGCCTCTTGCCAAGCCTCTTCTGCCTCTTGCCACGCCTCTTCTGCCTCTTGCCACGCCTCTTCTGCCTCTTGCCACGCCTCTTCTGCCTCTTGCCACGCCTCTTTCTGCCTCTTGCCACGCCTCTTCTGCCTCTTGCCAAGCCTCTTCTTTCTTCGCCTCTTGCCACGCCTCTTCTGCCTCTTGCCACGCCTCTTCTGCCTCTTGCCAAGGCCTCTTCTGCCTCTTGCCAGCCTCTTCTGCTCTTGCCACGCCTCTTCTGCCTCTTGCGACGCCTCTTCTGCCTCTTGCCAACGCCTCTTCTGCCTCTTGCCAAGCCCTCTTCTGCCTCTTGCCACGCCTCTTCTGCCTCTTGCCACGCCTCTTCTGCCTCTTGCCACGCCTCTTCTGCCTCTTGCCACGCCTCTTCTGCTCTTGCCCACGCCTCTTCTGCCTCTTGCCACGCTCTCTGCCTCTGCCAAGCCTCTGCCTCTTGCCACGCCTCTTCTGCCTCTTGCCACGCCTCTTCTGCCTCTTGCCACGCCTCTTCTGCCTCTTGCCACGCCTCTTCTGCCTCTTGGCCACGCCTCTTCTGCCTCTTGCCACGCCTCTTCTGCCTCTTGCCACGCCTCTTCTGCCTCTTGCCACGCCTCTTCTGCCTCTTGCCAAGCCTCTTCTGCCTCTTGCCACGCCTCTTCTGCCTCTTGCCACGCCTCTTCTGCCTCTTGCCACGCCCTCTTCTGCCTCTTGCCACGCCTCTTCTGCCTCTTGCCACGCCTCTTCTGCTCTTGCCACGCCTCTTCTGCCTCTTGCCAAGCCTTCTTCTGCTCTCTTGGGGCCACGCCTCTTCTGCCTCTTGCCACGCCTCTTCTGCCTCTTGCCACGCCTCTTCTGCCTCTTGCCACGCCTCTTCTGCCTCTTGCCACGCCTCTTCTGCCTCTTGCCACGCCTCTTCTGCCTCTTGGCCACGCCTCTTCTGCCTCTTGCCAAGCCTCTTCCTGACTCTTGCCACGCCTCTTCTGCCTCTTGCCACGCCTCTTCTGCCTCTTGCCACGCCTCTTCTGCCTCTTGCCACGCCTCTTCTGCCTCTTGCCACGCCTCTTCTGCCTCTTGCCACGCCTCTTCTGCCTCTTGCCACGCCTCTTCTGCCTCTTGCCACGCCTCTTCTTGCCTCTTGCCACGCCTCTTCTGCCTCTTGCCACGCCTCTTCTGCCTCTTGCCACGCCTCTTCTGCCTCTTGCCACGCCTCTTCTGCCTCTTGCCACGCCTCTTCTGCCTCTTGCCACGCCTCTTCTGCCTCTTGCCACGCCTCTTCTGCCTCTTGCCACGCCTCTTCTGCCTCTTGCCACGCCTCTTCTGCCTCTTGCCACGCCTCTTCTGCCTCTTGCCACGCCTCTTCTGCCTCTTGCCACGCCTCTTCTGCCTCTTGCCACGCCTCTTCTGCCTCTTGCCACGCCTCTTCTGCCTCTTGCCACGCCTCTTCTGCCTCTTGCCACGCCTCTTCTGCCTCTTGCCACGCCTCTTCTGCCTCTTGCCACGCCTCTTCTGCCTCTTGCCACGCCTCTTCTGCCTCTTGCCACGCCTCTTCTGCCTCTTGCCACGCCTCTTCTGCCTCTTGCCACGCCTCTTCTGCCTCTTGCCACGCCTCTTCTGCCTCTTGCCACGCCTCTTCTGCCTCTTGCCACGCCTCTTCTGCCTCTTGCCACGCCTCTTCTGCCTCTTGCCACGCCTCTTCTGCCTCTTGCCACGCCTCTTCTGCCTCTTGCCACGCCTCTTCTGCCTCTTGCCACGCCTCTTCTGCCTCTTGCCACGCCTCTTCTGCCTCTTGCCACGCCTCTTCTGCCTCTTGCCACGCCTCTTCTGCTCTTGCCACGCCTCTTCTGCCTCTTGCCACGCCTCTTCTGCCTCTTGCCACGCCTCTTCTGCCTCTTGCCACGCCTCTTCTGCCTCTTGCCACGCCTCTTCTGCCTCTTGCCACGCCTCTTCTGCCTCTTGCCACGCCTCTTCTGCCTCTTGCCACGCCTCTTCTGCCTCTTGCCACGCCTCTTCTGCCTCTTGCCACGCCTCTTCTGCCTCTTGCCACGCCTCTTCTGCCTCTTGCCACGCCTCTTCTGCCTCTTGCCACGCCTCTTCTGCCTCTTGCCACGCCTCTTCTGCCTCTTGCCACGCCTCTTCTGCCTCTTGCCACGCCTCTTCTGCCTCTTGCCACGCCTCTTCTGCCTCTTGCCACGCCTCTTCTGCCTCTTGCCACGCCTCTTCTGCCTCTTGCCACGCCTCTTCTGCCTCTTGCCACGCCTCTTCTGCTCTTGCCACGCCTCTTCTGCCTCTTGCCACGCCTCTTCTGCCTCTTGCCACGCCTCTTCTGCCTCTTGCCACGCCTCTTCTGCTCTTGCCACGCCTCTTCTGCCTCTTGCCACGCCTCTTCTGCCTCTTGCCACGCCTCTTCTGCCTCTTGCCACGCCTCTTCTGCCTCTTGCCACGCCTCTTCTGCCTCTTGCCACGCTCTTCTGCCTCTTGCCACGCCTCTTCTGCCTCTTGCCACGCCTCTTCTGCCTCTTGCCACGCCTCTTCTGCCTCTTGCCACGCCTCTTCTGCCTCTTGCCACGCCTCTTCTGCCTCTTGCCACGCCTCTTCTGCCTCTTGCCACGCCTCTTCTGCCTCTTGCCACGCCTCTTCTGCCTCTTGCCACGCCTCTTCTGCTCTTGCCACGCCTCTTCTGCCTCTTGCCACGCTCTTCTGCTCTTGCCACGCTCTTCTGCCTCTTGCCACGCCTCTTCTGCCTCTTGCCACGCCTCTTCTGCCTCTTGCCACGCCTCTTCTGCCTCTTGCCACGCCTCTTCTGCCTCTTGCCACGCCTCTTCTGCCTCTTGCCACGCCTCTTCTGCCTCTTGCCACGCCTCTTCTGCCTCTTGCCACGCCTCTTCTGCCTCTTGCCACGCCTCTTCTGCCTCTTGCCACGCCTCTTCTGCCTCTTGCCACGCCTCTTCTGCCTCTTGCCACGCCTCTTCTGCCTCTTGCCACGCCTCTTCTGCCTCTTGCCACGCCTCTTCTGCCTCTTGCCACGCCTCTTCTGCCTCTTGCCACGCCTCTTTCTGCCTCTTGCCACGCCTCTTCTGCCTCTTGCCACGCCTCTTCTGCCTCTTGCCACGCCTCTTCTGCCTCTTGCCACGCCTCTTCTGCCTCTTGCCACGCTCTTCTGCCTCTTGCCACGCCTCTTCTGCCTCTTGCCACGCCTCTTCTGCCTCTTGCCACGCCTCTTCTGCCTCTTGCCACGCCTCTTCTGCCTCTTGCCACGCCTCTTCTGCCTCTTGCCACGCCTCTTCTGCCTCTTGCCACGCCTCTTCTGCCTCTTGCCACGCCTCTTCTGCCTCTTGCCACGCCTCTTCTGCCTCTTGCCACGCCTCTTCTGCCTCTTGCCACGCCTCTTCTGCCTCTTGCCACGCCTCTTCTGCCTCTTGCCACGCCTCTTCTGCCTCTTGCCACGCCTCTTCTGCCTCTTGCCACGCCTCTTCTGCCTCTTGCCACGCCTCTTCTGCTCTTGCCTTGCCACGCCTCTTCTGCCTCTTGCCACGCCTCTTCTGCCTCTTGCCACGCCTCTTCTGCCTCTTGCCACGCCTCTTCTGCCTCTTGCCACGCCTCTTCTGCCTCTTGCCACGCCTCTTCTGCCTCTTGCCACGCCTCTTCTGCCTCTTGCCACGCCTCTTCTGCCTCTTGCCACGCCTCTTCTGCCTCTTGCCACGCCTCTTCTGCCTCTTGCCACGCCTCTTCTGCCTCTTGCCACGCCTCTTCTGCCTCTTGCCACGCCTCTTCTGCCTCTTGCCACGCCTCTTCTGCCTCTTGCCACGCCTCTTCTGCCTCTTGCCACGCCTCTTCTGCCTCTTGCCACGCCTCTTCTGCCTCTTGCCACGCCTCTTCTGCCTCTTGCCACGCCTCTTCTGCCTCTTGCCACGCCTCTTCTGCCTCTTGCCACGCCTCTTCTGCCTCTTGCCACGCCTCTTCTGCCTCTTGCCACGCCTCTTCTGCCTCTTGCCACGCCTCTTCTGCCTCTTGCCACGCCTCTTCTGCCTCTTGCCACGCCTCTTCTGCCTCTTGCCACGCCTCTTCTGCCTCTTGCCACGCCTCTTCTGCCTCTTGCCACGCCTCTTCTGCCTCTTGCCACGCCTCTTCTGCCTCTTGCCACGCCTCTTCTGCCTCTTGCCACGCCTCTTCTGCCTCTTGCCACGCCTCTTCTGCCTCTTGCCACGCCTCTTCTGCCTCTTGCCACGCCTCTTCTGCCTCTTGCCACGCCTCTTCTGCCTCTTGCCACGCCTCTTCTGCCTCTTGCCACGCCTCTTCTGCCTCTTGCCACGCCTCTTCTGCCTCTTGCCACGCTCTGCTCTTGCCACGCCTCTTCTGCCTCTTGCCACGCCTCTTCTGCCTCTTGCCACGCCTCTTCTGCCTCTTGCCACGCCTCTTCTGCCTCTTGCCACGCCTCTTCTGCCTCTTGCCACGCCTCTTCTGCCTCTTGCCACGCCTCTTCTGCCTCTTGCCACGCCTCTTCTGCCTCTTGCCACGCCTCTTCTGCCTCTTGCCACGCCTCTTCTGCCTCTTGCCACGCCTCTTCTGCCTCTTGCCACGCCTCTTCTGCCTCTTGCCACGCCTCTTCTGCCTCTTGCCACGCCTCTTCTGCCTCTTGCCACGCCTCTTCTGCCTCTTGCCACGCCTCTTCTGCCTCTTGCCACGCCTCTTCTGCCTCTTGCCACGCCTCTTCTGCCTCTTGCCACGCCTCTTCTGCCTCTTGCCACGCCTCTTCTGCCTCTTGCCACGCCTCTTCTGCCTCTTGCCACGCCTCTTCTGCCTCTTGCCACGCCTCTTCTGCCTCTTGCCACGCCTCTTCTGCCTCTTGCCACGCCTCTTCTGCCTCTTGCCACGCCTCTTCTGCCTCTTGCCACGCCTCTTCTGCCTCTTGCCACGCCTCTTCTGCCTCTTGCCACGCCTCTTCTGCCTCTTGCCACGCCTCTTCTGCCTCTTGCCACGCCTCTTCTGCCTCTTGCCACGCCTCTTCTGCCTCTTGCCACGCCTCTTCTGCCTCTTGCCACGCCTCTTCTGCCTCTTGCCACGCCTCTTCTGCCTCTTGCCACGCCTCTTCTGCCTCTTGCCACGCTCTTCTGCCTCTTGCCACGCTCTTCTGCCTCTTGCCACGCCTCTTCTGCCTCTTGCCACGCCTCTTCTGCCTCTTGCCACGCCTCTTCTGCCTCTTGCCACGCCTCTTCTGCCTCTTGCCACGCCTCTTCTGCCTCTTGCCACGCCTCTTCTGCCTCTTGCCACGCCTCTTCTGCCTCTTGCCACGCCTCTTCTGCCTCTTGCCACGCCTCTTCTGCCTCTTGCCACGCCTCTTCTGCCTCTTGCCACGCCTCTTCTGCCTCTTGCCACGCCTCTTCTGCCTCTTGCCACGCCTCTTCTGCTGCTCTTGCCACGCCTCTTCTGCCTCTTGCCACGCCTCTTCTGCCTCTTGCCACGCCTCTTCTGCCTCTTGCCACGCCTCTTCTGCCTCTTGCCACGCCTCTTCTGCCTCTTGCCACGCCTCTTCTGCCTCTTGCCACGCCTCTTCTGCCTCTTGCCACGCCTCTTCTGCCTCTTGCCACGCCTCTTCTGCCTCTTGCCACGCCTCTTCTGCCTCTTGCCACGCCTCTTCTGCCTCTTGCCACGCCTCTTCTGCCTCTTGCCACGCCTCTTCTGCCTCTTGCCAGCCGCTCTTCTTCTGCCCTCTTGCCACGACCTCTTCTTGCCTCTTGCCACGCCTCTTCTGCCTCTTGCCACTCCTCTTCTGCCTCTTGCCACGCCTCTTCTTGCTCTTGCCACGCCTCTTCTGCCTCTTGCCACGCCTTCTCTGCCTCTTGCCAAGCCTCTTCTGCCTCTTGCCACGCCTCTTCTGCCTCTTGCCACGCCTCTTCTGCCTCTTGCCACGCCTTCTTCTGCCTCTTGCCACGCCTCTTCTGCCTCTTGCCAAGCCTCTTCTGCCTCTTGCCACGCCTCTTCTGCCTCTGCCAGCTCTCCTGCCTCTTGCCACGCCTCTTCTGCCTCTTGCCAGCCTCTCTGCCTCTTGCCACGCCTCTTCTGACTCTTGCCACGCCTCTTCTGCCTCTTGCCACGCCTCTTCTGCCTCTTGCCACGCCTCTTCTGCCTCTTGCCACGCCTCTTCTGCCTCTTGCCACGCCTCTTCTGCCTCTTGCCACGCCTCTTCTGCCTCTTGCCACGCCTCTTCTGCCTCTTGCCACGCCTCTTCTGCCTCTTGCCACGCCTCTTCTGCCTCTTGCCACGCCTCTTCTGCCTCTTGCCACGCCTCTTCTGCCTCTTGCCACGCCTCTTCTGCCTCTTGCCACGCCTCTTCTGCCTCTTGCCACGCCTCTTCTGCCTCTTGCCACGCCTCTTCTGCCTCTTGCCACGCCTCTTCTGCCTCTTGCCACGCCTCTTCTGCCTCTTGCCACGCCTCTTCTGCCTCTTGCCACGCCTCTTCTGCCTCTTGCCACGCCTCTTCTGCCTCTTGCCACGCCTCTTCTGCCTCTTGCCACGCCTCTTCTGCCTCTTGCCACGCCTCTTCTGCCTCTTGCCACGCCTCTTCTGCCTCTTGCCACGCCTCTTCTGCCTCTTGCCACGCCTCTTCTGCCTCTTGCCACGCCTCTTCTGCCTCTTGCCACGCCTCTTCTGCCTCTTGCCACGCCTCTTCTGCCTCTTGCCACGCCTCTTCTGCCTCTTGCCACGCCTCTTCTGCCTCTTGCCACGCCTCTTCTGCCTCTTGCCACGCCTCTTCTGCCTCTTGCCACGCCTCTTCTGCCTCTGCCCTGCCTCTTACGCCTCTTCTGCCTCTTGCCAAGCCTCTTCTGCCTCTTGCCACGCCTCTTCTGCCTCTTGCCACGCCTCTTTCTGCCTCTTGCCACGCCTCTTCTGCCTCTTGCCACGCCTCTTCTGCCTCTTGCCACGCCTCTTCTGCCTCTTGCCACGCCTCTTCTGCCTCTTGCCACGCCTCTTCTGCCTCTTGCCACGCCTCTTCTGCCTCTTGCCACGCCTCTTCTGCCTCTTGCCACGCCTCTTCTGCCTCTTGCCACGCCTCTTCTGCCTCTTGCCACGCCTCTTCTGCCTCTTGCCACGCCTCTTCTGCCTCTTGCCACGCCTCTTCTGCCTCTTGCCACGCCTCTTCTGCCTCTTGCCACGCCTCTTCTGCCTCTTGCCACGCCTCTTCTGCCTCTTGCCACGCCTCTTCTGCCTCTTGCCACGCCTCTTCTGCCTCTTGCCACGCCTCTTCTGCCTCTTGCCACGCCTCTTCTGCCTCTTGCCACGCCTCTTCTGCCTCTTGCCACGCCTCTTCTGCCTCTTGCCAAGCCTCTTCTGCCTCTTGCCACGCCTTGTCTGCCTCTTGCCAAGCCTCTTCTGCCTCTTGCCACGCCTCTTCTGCCTCTTGCCACGCCTCTTCTGCCTCTTGCCACGCCTCTTCTGCCTCTTGCCAAGCCTCTTCTGCCTCTTGCCACGCCTCTTCTGCCTCTTGCCACGCCTCTTCTGCCTCTTGCCAAGCCTCTTCTGCCTCTTGCCACGCCTCTTCTGCCTCTTGCCAAGCCTCTTCTGCCTCTTGCCACGCCTCTTCTGCCTCTTGCCACGCCTCTTCTGCCTCTTGCCACGCCTCTTCTGCCTCTTGCCACGCCTCTTCTGCCTCTTGCCACGCCTCTTCTGCCTCTTGCCACGCCTCTTCTGCCTCTTGCCACGCCTCTTCTGCCTCTTGCCACGCCTCTTCTGCCTCTTGCCACGCCTCTTCTGCCTCTTGCCACGCCTCTTCTGCCTCTTGCCACGCCTCTTCTGCCTCTTGCCACGCCTCTTCTGCCTCTTGCCAAGCCTCTTCTGCCTCTTGCCACGCCTTGTCTGCCTCAGCGCACTTGCTGTGCTCTGCTCTGCACATGCACTGGGTCCTCGTGCTTACTGCACCACGCTCTCGTGTGCTTACTGTATCTGCCTCTCATCACAGTCAACGCATTGCTGTGCTGTACTGTGTGCATGAAGTGTCGTGCTCACATGCCCCCTCCACACGGACTGCACGCCCCCTCCACACGGACTGCACGCCCACTGCCGCCTCTCAAAACTCCAACCCTCACTCCTCCCTCTCGATGTCTCCCCTCCCCCCTCACCTCCCAGTGGCGGCGGAGGCGCAGGCGTGGGCGACCTCTACTCATGCTCGTCCCTCTCATGCTCGTCCCTCTCATGCTCGTCCCTCTCGTGCTCATCCCTCTCGTGCTCATCCCAGTGGCGGTGGAGGCCCAGGCGTGGGCGACGGTGCTGACCAACAGCACGTACAACTGCGGGCTGTCGCACGGCGGCAACCCCGGCGAGGGGCAGAACCTCTCCGGGGGCGGCCCGGCCGGCTATTACTCGAACGGGGCGGCGGTGAGCTGGTGGGTGGGCGAGGGCGACCTCTACTCGTACGCCGTCTTCTCCGGGGGCTGCAGCACCGGCAACTGGGCTGACTGCGGCCACTACACCCAGGTGAGCAGCATGCATGGACTTGAGGCTCCGAGGTGCTCATTTAAGAAGGATATGCTCGCCGGTTGCTGCTTGGAGGGGCACGCTGTGTGGTGCATCAAGAATCTTTGCTCATCTCCTCCTCCCTGCAGGTCATTTGGAACAACACGCGCACTGTGGGGTGCGGCAAGGCGTCGTGTGGCACGAAGGCAGATGTGTGGGCGTGCAACTACTACCCTCCCGGCAACTATGGCGGCCAGCTGCCCTATGGTCAGTGCTCCACACCCTTCACACCTACCACACCCTTCACACCCACCACACCCTTCACACCCACCACACCCTTCACACCCGTCCTCCCATTGATCCTTCATTGCACCCACCTCTCTCTTCTCAACCTCCCTTCAATCGTTCCCCCCTCTCGCTTACCCCCTCCCACCACTCCAGTGCAAGACCCGTGCTACCGGGTGGCATGCCCGTCCACAGCGACGTGCACGGTGCGGTACGGGCAGCCCATGTGTGTGTGTGGGGCGGGGCAGGTGCTCGTGAACAACGCCACGTGCCAGCCCGACCCCTGCAGCAGCGCCACCACCACGTGCCCCGGCAACCTCGTGTGTGACGGCTCCTCCGGTACCGCCCAGTGCGCCTGCCCCACCGGCCTCGTACCCATCAGCGCCAACACCTGCGTCCGTGAGTGCCCCTCTCTCCCCGCTCCCCTGCCTACCCACCCCGCTCCCTTCACCCCTTGTCCCTTCTGATCCTTTGCTCCACCACCCCCTCTCCTCACGCCACACCTCTCACACCTTCCCTCCCTCGCTCCTTTGGCCTTCCCTCCCTATTGCTTGCAGCGCCGGCGTGTGTGGGGGCTGTGTGCCCAGCGCAGGCGACATGTGCGGTGGACGGCAGCGGGTACCCGTTCTGCCAGTGCCCCACGGGGTGGTACCTGGGCAGCAACGTGTGTGTGCAGGGCACGCCCGCTGCCGTGGCAGCCACCAGCCTGGCGATCTACAACACCGCCTCCTACACCAGCACCGCCCCCGCACTCGGTCCCACGCTCGTGCGCACGGGCCTGCCCGTCAACTCGTCGCGCGGCAGCTGTGTCGACATCCCCGGCGGCATTGCAGCGGCGTCGCTGCGCGTGCTCTGGAACGTGCCGGACAGCTCGGGGGCGCCCAAGCAGTCGTGCGGGCTGCTGTGGTTCTGGACCAGCGCCTCCTGCTACGGCTCCGCCACCGGCTACTATCGCCCCGCCGGGGACGTCACCAACTTCGCGTCAGTGGCCCCACCCCCCGCCCTGTCCCCTGTCCCCTCCCCCCTGCCCCTTGCCCCCCGCTGAGTTCGTTTTTTCTCAATGCTAGCAGCAGCTGTCTTTTTACTGTGGTCGTCCATTGCCCTCCCTCTCTATCAATGCTCGCCACTCACTGGTGTGCCGTGTCCCCCTCCTTGCTTGCTGTGTGCATGCAGCACCACATCGGGCAACGTGGCTCTCGTCAAGGCTGTAGCCTGCGCCATCTGACCGCCCCCCCTCCTGCTGCCACCTGATCTGACCGCCCCCCCTCCTGCTGCCACCTGATCTGACCGCCCCCTGCTGTCATGCTGCACAGACGGGGCAGAATTGCACATCTGCAGTCTTCCTCTCACCTGTGCAAGTGCTGACATTGTCTGCGGAGGCTCCTTATCTGTACCATAGTTAATTCATTCATTTTATCCCTCTAGTTGTGTTGCCCAGCTCCATTTTTGCGACCGATCATGTGTATAGTGTGTTGGATTACTTGGTAATAAGGGCGCATTCCAAGTTGTTGGCAAGGCAACTGTTGATGGCTTCCGAAAAGGAAGGACCGTTTTCACTCTCGACTATTATGTACGGTATGGAAATCGATTTTCCTTACCGTCATCGCCCGGATATAAGACATATATGTCTTATCTCATACACTAAAAAAAATGCTTGGGTTATCTTGTATTTGGGGAGGTTTTGGGTGTCTTATAAGTCTTATAAATGGAAACCTTTTTAAACTACTTAGAAATATTTTCACGCATCTTGAAAAGAGTTTCTCATTAAGAGTGTCGATGTTGCGAAGTTGCCACTTCGGCAACCATTGTTCGGAACGCCACGTCATCCCGAATACTTGCAGAGTCAAATTTGGTAGTACGGTATGTGACTCAGCACGTGGCAGAATTCGCGTGTCGCAAGGGTAAAAATGTACGCGGTATTTCAATTTTCACTATAATATATTGCAGTTTCGATTATAAGACACATATGTCTTATCTCGTACACACAAATAGGTGTCGTATAAAAAGGCTAGCCTGTTTATAAGAGACACCCGTATAATAGACAACCCCTGTCTACTATTCAACACTGTCTTATATCCGGGCGATGACGGTACTCTTGCATCAGGCCCTTAGATACCGTCTCGGGGTTAAACACCTTGAAAACCCTGATTTCAGGGTGTTGAGAGGTTCCTGCTCCTTGAGTTCAAAGGACGTCTCTTGTATCGTACATGCCTTGCACTTTCAGTGTACTCTCTTAATGTATCAAGCCGTGATGCTTCCAAATGTCAAATGATATATATGGAATATATGTTTAGGCTGTAGTGGGGTAGCTAACATAGGGTATAGCCCCATTAGGGTTTCATACTTGTACCCAACTCTCTTCTAGTCCATTCATTCCTGCCTAGACTTCTGACATGGTATTCAGAGCAGTAGGTCCGTAGGACCGTCTTTTTTTTCGGGCCCACCTACTGCTACCCCACGACTGTGACTGTGACTGTGCCTAGGACGTGCTGCGCTGCCCGCACTGTCTGCCTGCTGCCTGCTGTCTGCTGTCTGAGCTGTCTGCTGCTGCTTCGAGCGCGCAGACCTAATTCCCGCGCGCTGCCCCCTTTTGCCCCGCACGTCGCCCTCCCTGCTCGCGTCGCGCCTCGGCAGTCGCGTCGCGCCCCGCGCACCGCCCGCGCAGCCCGCGTCGAGCCCGCGCAGCGCGCGCGCGGTCCGCAGCTGCCCCGCGCACCGCTCGCGCAGCCCGCGCCGAGCCCGCGCAGCGCGCGCGCGGCCCGCAGCTGCCCCGCGCACCGTCCGCGCAGCCCGCGCCGCGCTCTGACAGCCCGCGCGCGGCCCTCCGCAGCCACGCGCGCCGCCCTACCTGCTCGAGCCGCGCCTCTGCAGCCTGCGCGCGGCCTGCTGCTGCCCCGCGCGCTGCCTGAGCTGCCTGCGCCTGCTTTGTGCGCTGCCCTTGCTGCTCGCGCCCTTTGCCTGCTGCATGCTGCCTACTGCCTTTGCCTACTGCCTTTGCCTGCACTGCGATTATGGCGACACTTAATGTTCTCGCCTTTGAGCCTGACGGTCGCCCGATAGAGTTCGCCACGTGGCTTGACGATCTCCAACTGTTTCTTCTGACTGATGCCAAAGACGGCGTTTCACTGTTCGATTACGTGTCTGGCACTGCCGTTGCTCCTGCTGACGATGCTACCGCTCTCGAACGCTCACAGTGGCAGACTCGCGATGCTGCTGCACGCCTAGCTATTCGAAATCATCTGCCGATCACTGAGCGCGCGCATTTCAGCCAGCACAAAACTGTTAAGGCACTGTATGACGCTGTAGTTGCGCGCTACACCTCCCCAGCCACTGCAGCCCTAGGTTGGCTCATGCTACCCTACCTGTTCCCAGACCTGTCCTCGTTTACCACTGCTGAGGACCTCATTTCTCACCTTCGCGCTAGTGACACTCGCTTTCGTGCCGCCCTTCCAGCCGAGTTCTGCGCCGAGAACCCCCCCCCCCCCCCCCCCGATGTACTTCACTCTCTATTTCCTCGTCACCCGCCTCCCTGACACTCTTAGCTCTGTCAGGGACCACTTCCTAGCCCTAGACCCTACCACTCTCACTGTCGCTGACTTCGAGAAGCACCTCCTAGCAGAAGAGAAGAACACCCTCGCTGTAGGTGCTGCTCGTGGTACTCCTCGCACTCCCCTCTTTGAGGGGTGCTCCCCCTACGCTCTTACCCCCTCCTACGCCTCCGCAGCTGCTGCTGTCGACCTCCTTGGTGCTGAGAAGGTCGCAGCTGCTTCCGCTCCTAGTGGGAAGCGCAGCGGCTCCAGGGGAGGCAGGGGTGGCAGGGGTGGCGGACGTGGTGGTGAAGGGGGCGGTGGTGGAGGCGGCGGGGGAGGTGGAGGTGGTGGGGGTGGTCGTGGGGGTGGAGGTGGTGGTGGGGGCGGTGGTGGTGCCGGGAGCAGTGGCGGTGGCGGCGGCGGTGGTGGCGGAGGGGGGAGTGGTGGTGGCGGCGGTGGTGGGGGCTTGGGTGAGACCAGTGGTGGCCAGGGGCAGCAGCAGCAGCAGCAGCAGCAGCAGCAGCAGCAGCCGCAGCAGCGTCAGCGCCAGACCCCCACTTCCCAGCAGCTTCATGACTGGTATGCCGGGCGTGGGGCGTCTGGGGGTCCTGGTCGCTGCCCCTATATCATTCGCGCAGGTCCCCGCGCTGGTCGCCAGTGCACCGGCTTTCACACTGAGTACCGCTGCTTTGCTCGGCTTAGCGACGCCTGGCGCGTCAAGTTTCCTGATGCTACTGCGTTCCCCAACTGGGCAGACCTGCTTAGGCGTGATGTACCTATCTTTGATCTTGACTATGATGCTATTCTTGCTGCCATGTATGCATTGACTGTTAGTGCTGAGGGTGACTGCTACTTGTGTGTGCCGCCTGACCCCGGTATAGCCCCAGGTATAGCGCCTGCAGCTCTAGGTGCTCGTGAGTCTGCTCTCCCTGGAACGGCGTCCACACAGGCCTTGCACACCTTTACACTTGACTCTGGTGCTTCCCGCTGTTTCTTTCGCGACAGCACCACAGTCACTCCCCTCCCTGCACGTCTCACTGGCTGACCCCTCTGGGGGCCCAGTGCTAGCACGGTCCACTACTGTGCTTCCGTGTCCGGCGGTCCCGTCTGGTGAGCTGTCTGGTCTCCACCTCCCCTCGTTCTCTACGAACCTGGTGAGCAACGCCGTCCTTCAGGATCATTGGGTTGACACCTTTACTCCTGGAGGACAGCGTGTGGCGATCTGCACGTGCTCTCGGACTGGCCGCCACCTGGCCACGTTCACACGTGCGCCTGGGTCCAGTCTATACACCCTCACCACTGCGTCGCGCTCCACCCCTTTGTCTCCGCAGTTGTACGCGTCCGCTCAGGTAGCTACCCAGTGTGAGTGTCGCCGCCTGTCGCACCAGACTCTCCTTTGGCACCACCGCCTTGGTCACCCCTCCTTGCCTCGCCTTCGTGGCATGCACTCTCGCCTACTGGTCTCTGGTCTTCCCAGGTCTCTGCCCTCCCTCCCTCCCTCGCCTGCGCCGCCCTGCATTCCTTGCGTCGAGGGGCAGCAGTGCGCCGCTCCTCACTCCTCCTCGTTCCCTCCCACAGAGGCTCCACTGCAGACTCTCCACCTGGACGTGTGGGGCCCAGCCCGCGTCCGTGGACAGGGCCACGAGCGGTACTTCCTGCCGGTTGTTGACGACTACACGCGTTACACCACGGTCTTCCCCTTGCAGCGCAAGGGGGAGGTCCCTGATGTTTTGATCCCCTGGATCCGCGCTGTTAGTCTCCAGCTCCGCGAGCGGTTCCAGTCGGACTTTCCTGTCCTGCGTCTGCACTCTGACAGAGGTGGTGAGTTCTCCTCCGACCTCTTGCGAGCCTACTGTGAGGAGCACGGCATCCGCCAGACGTTCACGCTTCCGGCCTCTCCGCAGCAGAATGGGATTGCTGAGCGCCGCATTGGCTTAGTCATGGAGGTCGGTCGTACCTCCATGATCCATGCGGCTGCCCCCCATTTTCTGTGGCCGTTTGCGGTCCGGTACGCCGCGCATCAGCTCAACCTCTGGCCCCGTGTCTCCGTGCCGGAGACTTCGCCCACACTTTGCTGGACGGGGGAGGTTGGCGATGCGTCGCGTTTCCGAGTCTGGGGTGCCCGTGCCTTAGTCCGCGATACCACTGCGGACAAGCTCTCCCCTCGCGCCATTCCCTGCGTCTTCCTTGGCTTTGTCCCTGACGCGCCTGGCTGGCAGTTTTACGACCCCGCCTCGCGCCGTGTCTTTCCGTCTCAGGACGTCACCTTTGACGAGTCAGTCCCCTTTTACCGTCTCTTTCCCTACCGCACTGCCCCTCGCCCCCCCCTGCCGCTCTTTCTCGCTCCAGGTCCTCCCCAGGTAGACCCCCTCCCTGCTCCTTCAGGTGTTTCTCAGGTAGACCCTCCCGTGCGTGCGCCTGTTGAGGTCACTGGTGACTCAGGTCCTGCTGGGGGTGGTCCTGCTCGGGGTGCTGTCTCTGGGGGTGCTGAGCCTGGGGGTGCGGAGCCTGAGCGTGAGGAGCCTGGGGGTGCTGAGCCTGGGGGTACGGAGCCTGGGGGTGCTGAGCCTGAGCGTGAGGAGCCTGGAGGTGCTGAGTCTGAGCGTGAGGAGGCTGGAGGTACTACGCCTGGGGGTGCTGCGTCTGGGGGTGCTGCGCCTGAGCGTGAGGAGCCTAGAGGTGCTGAGCCTGAGCGTGAGGAGGCTGGAGGTACTACGCCTG